ATCAGACCTGCTGTTCCGGGTAGCAAGGTTGAGGCGGAGACGATTGAGATGCGAGCCTCACTGGATGCTTCGGCGGAAAGCTTGCTCATGAGACCACATGCAGGCTGGAGTCCTCACATGGAGACCCCATGAGTCGGCTTTGTTGAGTTTTGTCGGGTTTGAATGTGTTTGTGCTCCGTTTCTAAGTTTGTTGGTATTGAAGCATGGTCATCAAGGAAGATGCTAGTGGAACCAGTCAGATCCAGCTCAATTTCCGCACCGTAATATTCATTCTCCTGGAGGCATGTCCTTAAACTCCACTCATGAATACTTTTGCATCTCTAGACCCTTAATATGTTCCATGTCTCTGATATACTCGACAAGCCACTGCTCTGCCGCCAGAAGCTGCGAGAGATAGTGCAGGGTACCATATCGATCAGCCCGTAACCGGTTGAACCATTTCTTTCACATATTTTATTCTTCCTTAATCTCCTTCATCTCTTTAGTGCCCACTATAGATTCTTGTTATCCAACCTTATTATTTAAGAATATTTGAAGTTAGTATGGTTGGTGACTATCAGTAAAGTTTGGAGAACCCATGTTCAGCCTAAGAGCTATACGGTATGTGAACAGGCCCCAAAGAACAAGGATGCAAATATGTTAATCCGACCAAATAGAGTTTAACTATCCTTGTTACCGACTGTTCCGGGAGAAAAGCAGCAATGCCACGTTGTTTTACTTTGCATCAAATACTCCGTTACTTGACTGATACAGCAGCCGTGTATGCCATAGGCAGTTACTGACTTACCAACTCCTTTGAACTGTTTGCGATATGATGCTTTCGTCTACGCTACTCCTTTCGGCCTTGATCGCCGTGGCGCAAGCTATCGATGTTGATGTTGCGGTCGTAGGCGGTGGCGGATCTGGTGGTTATGCCGCTGTCCAGCTGCGAGAGAACTATGGCAAGAAGATTGTAGTCATTGAAAAGCAAAAGCAGTTGGTATGTGCACTGCGTGCCCTCTTAGTGGTGGACGACTGACATATCGTAGGGTGGCCATGCACAAGCATGGTACGATCCAGTCACTGGAAAGGCGTACAATTACGGTGTTGACGCGTTTACGAACATCACCACCTCAATTGACTTCTTCAGACAATTGAAAGTTCCGATCGGGCCAGTACAGTCTGTCCCAGCAGAGAACTTGTACGTCAACTTCGAAGATGGCAAAATAGTTGACTATACGCCTCCCACCACGAAAGAGGCCGCTGATGCTATGGGTAACTATCGCGACCAGTGGCTTAAGTACACCGACATTTTGTTACCTACTAGCAAGCATTTCCCGCGAGGTGACAGGGTTCCGTCGGATCTTTTGCTGCCTTGGTATGAGTTCGCGCGCAAGTATCAAGCAGAAGCTGCGAGCCCAAGCATCTGGGATATTGTCGTCGTTGATCTCAACACTGCGTTGATGATTGATGTATGGAAGGCATGGAATCCCAGCGTTGGATCGTTCCAACCAGTATCAGGTGATAACACGGAGATCTGGAAAAAGGCTGCGAAACTTCTGGGCAAAGACGTCCTCTATGAGAGCGAAGTGATCTCCGCTAAGCGAACCAAGAACGGAGTGAAGCTCGAGGTCAGAGATAAAGATGGTCATATCACAAAGGTCAACGCCAAGCGACTTCTGATTACTATCGGACCGGAGACAATCAACCCGAAATACTTTGACCTGGCCAGCGAAGAACTGGAAGTCTTCCATTCCGCTGCAGGCAACCGCTACTTCACTGGCATTGTATCTCACCCTTCTCTGCCCGCAGGTGAGATCACCAATGTTGTTCCAGCTGCCATCAACGCAAACTACCTCGCATACCCAGCAGTCCCCTTCCAGGCCTACTTCCACTATAAAGGAAACTCTTCCACTGGACCTATCCACCGCGCTCTAGCTGTCGTCCCGAGAGAGACTACAATTGAGGATGCCAAAGACCTTATCCGCAAATCAGTTCAGAATCTCATAGATGCTGGAACAATCCCAGCTGGGAACTCTAGCGATCTCGATTTTAGAACTTTCTCGGATCATGGACTATTGTATAGGCGCTGGTCTGCTGATCAGCTGCGTGGTGGTATCTTTGCAAGGGCGAATGCTCTCCAGGGGCAGCGATCGACTTGGTACACTGGGGCTTTCTGGATGAACAACGATTGTGTCATGTTGTGGAACACTACCAAAGCCATCTTGAAGGAGATGCTCAAGGACATGTAAATCAAATTAATTCGGTCTGCTCGGTTTGTAAGGGCTTGGTGCACCCGACCCTCCTTTACATCGCTTCTTTGTAACGACCAGCAGGACTTGTCAAAGCGACTTCCAGTTCTGTCTAAGTCAAATACCAACTTTCGATTAACATTCTCTTATTTATCAGACCTAACTCAGTAAATAGAAAGCGATATGATCTCGCAATAAAGGTCAAGAGCCTTCGAAACCTTCAGTTAACCAGAAGCTTCTGGCTTTAGTCCAACGTGATTCTACCATTCATATTAGAAACACATTATTTATTGAGCATGTAGGAAAAGTGTCTGTAACCATCTGATTTCACTCTTGTCTAGCACGACATGCCATCATTCTGACCCCAAACCCAGTGCAAGTTCGTTCCCACCTCGACTCCGTCCTCGGTCTCCTTAGTAAGCGTTTCAACCAGTGACTTTATCCCGCTCTCAGTCAGCCCCAGGGTCTTGTCCTGATCCACCAGCAAAATACCGTTGAGGCTTTGTGCCATGTACTCCAAAGCCACTCTGGTGATGACTGGTGTCAGGTCAGGTCTTCCCAGCATGACGAAGACCTTTTCGTCTACTTGTTGCAAACCAGCTTCTCGAAATTGACTTTGTAAAAGGACGGGACACCTTACACACGTTAGCAGACCTCTCAAGTAAACACACTGGGGACTGAGGGGTTGGGCACTTACTTGGGGTCACGCCCGAATTTGACGGCCGCTGCAGACTCGATCTTCTTCCACTCATGAAGGGCAGCCGAGTATGGGTTACTGGCGTATCCATAGGCTCCAATCTCGGACCAGAACAGGTATCCATCAGGCTTGAGCAGTGTCTTGAGATTCTTTACAGCTTGAAGCCACTCATCCTTCTTCAGCGCTGCATACAGCAACTTCACATGTACCAAATCATATATTCCCAAATACTGTTTCGGAAAAGGTTCAAGCACGTTACCATACTGTAACTTGACATTTGCCGGCAATGAAGCAGTTTCGTGGAATTTCCTTGTGTCAATGTCGAAACCGTCAAGTTGTGCCTCCTCGGTAACTCTGGCAGCAAGCTCCTTGAGAAATATCCCAGTTCCAGTGTCTGCGTCTGCGACTTTGGGGGCTGAGACGGACTTCAGATGCTGCCAAATGACGGGAGGAAGATCACCACGAGTGATATCTTTGAAGACGTCATGTTGAAGGTCAAGGCGCTGCCGTTCTTTGTCGGCGTCGCCATGATTCAGGGTGTAGATCGAAGACATTTTGAAGCGCTTGAGTAAGGATGCATGAAGAGGTAACGATGTATTGGGGAGTCGTAGAGTTGTAGACAATTGCCGTTATGTGCTTGTATGGAGGGCTTAGCTATGATCGGAAAGCCCGGAATAATATGTCGGCAGTTCATTATTTGTAATGAATCGTCCCCAATATACCAATCCTGGCTTGCCGATCAGGGCCTAATTATGCAGCGCATTGGTCACGCGCAATACCAATTATTGTCTGTGTCACCCGTTCGGAGCCCGAATCCAAGATTTTATGCTAACCTTGGTCCCCGCTTATGGCGGGCGGGCTCATAGATAATGCAATAACTTGGCGTAATTTTCAGCTCATAAGTTTTGACCAGTGGTACCTGGCTACAATAGTGTAGCCGTGTGAGAAGCCGCCCCCGCAAAACATAATACATTCAATCCGTGATTGGCAGGAGTAACTTGTATCCGTGAAGAGGCATACTTAAAGACCGGGCTTATTAAGATAGGACATAATGGTCGCTCCTGTAACTCACATGATATGATTTGACAGGTCAGGGACGTTTGCTGACAAGGCGGGGATCCCTCTCCTCACTCCTTCCCCTCCTTTTAAAGACCTCGCTCATCACAGTTTGCACCTGTAGGGATAATGGCGTGCCGCATCGTCTAAGGTGTGTGTGAGCTAAGCCTCTATCCCGGCCTGTCCTTTTACAATGTGCTATAATTGATACAACGTCACTATTGAAAGCCCTATATCCTCTTCCCATGATTTTCCTCCTGAGGAGCGGTGGGCATCCAGTTTAGACTCCCATCGTGATCTTGCCGCGACTTCTCCCATTCAGCTTCTTTGTCCGCCGGCTTTGCCCTCGCCGTACTGGAGAAGCCCCTGGTTTCCGACACTGTCGACCACTTCGAGTTTCCTTCGTATATGTATCACGAGTCCTGGAGTGCCATTGAGTAATCTTGGGCAATTGTGTTGGGTAGCTGGTATACTGCCCGGACCGACTTTGATTAGAGTGTTATTTTGAGTTGATAGACCCCACAGCCGATGGCTCACATCATGCGCCTCACACGCCATTGAGTAAATATCGCAAGGTCTTGCTGTGTAGACGACTGCTAAGCTTGAGAATGGTGTGCCTTCAGAGTATAAGTTAAAGACTTTAGTGTTCTCCAACAGTCGAGTATCGGTGCGCGTGACCAATAGGCTTTATACGGCCTGCTACTATGATGGTTGTCGAACAACAAAACCAACGTGAATATGGTATCAAATGTGACTGTCGCCATCGTGTAGTAATGGAAGAAAATGTTCAGTACAAATTACGGATGGTGGTGAGAATGGAAAGTAGGATGGGGATTGAAGGTACACAAAAATATACGGCTTCTGACTTCTCTAAATATAAGCGCTGCTCGTGCTGGGCGTTACGCGCCCAGTTTGGCACCCAGAGCGACACGATCTGAAACATGCCCCATGACATCTCGTGATGTAATGCTTGTGTCTCTCTCTCCAGCACTTGTTTAACAAAAACCTATGCCATATCAACAAAATAAATCATACGCCCTCCGCCAAATCGGCCAATTCCTTCTCTTTTCTGCTTCTTCCTCTTCCTTATCAGGATAAAATCGATATGAGCGCCGTCCCGTATCTATGTCAATTTCCTCAACCCCAATAAAGTTCGTCCGAAATCGCAACTTATGAAGTAGAAAAAGAACAAGCACAAGTGGAAGAGCCATCATTCTAAGGAAGAAATATTGCAGCTTGCCTGAGAGATTTATCTCTGTGCCTGGAATCTCGATGGGTGAGATAGAAACCCATGTATGAAGGGCTATCACCAATATGTATCCTAGAAGTGCACACCAGGACCCTACTATACCGACAGACGAAAGAAAGGGAAGTCGACTCAAGGGTCGAGCCGCACGCGTCCAAGCTAAACGCAGACGGATATGGCAGAAGCATATGCTACTCCAAGTAAAGAGCGTGGTGATGGCACTGATAGAGAGGAGCCACTGAAAGATAGTATCGTGCACTTTCACATCTATCGTATAGGCTAAAAGTCCGACACATCCTGCGATAAATAATGACACAAGAGGCCGGCCTCGTTTATCGATATAGGTAAAAAGTTGTGGCGCGTGTGAGAGCTCGGCCATTGCCTCGAGAGCTCGCGAAGATCCATATACAGCCGAACTCCCAACAGATAGAACTGCGATAAGGATAACGCCATTCATCACACTGGGAAGAATGGTCGTGCCAGCGCTCTCGATGGCAATGACAAAGGCACTGGCCGAGGCGTCAACAGAGCTCTTCCCCCCAATTAGAGATGGATTATCAGAAGGGACAAGTAGCCCAACAAGCATGATAGTGATGAGGTAGAAGATAGCGATACGCCAGAAGACCTGCTTGATAGCCTTTGGGAACGACTTGCGTGGGTCCCTTGTTTCGGCCACGGCAAGGCCGATCATTTCAGTCCCGCCATAGGAGAAAAGCGCCGTCGTAAGGGCACTGCTGAAGCCTTTGAAGCCGTTGTTGAAGGGTTGTGGCTGAAACCAGAGTTTGCCACCAATGAAGCCGCCGTCAGGTGGCCCTCCGATATTGATGACAATACCCAGGAGACTAGAGTATTTATGTGAGCATTGACACAACGACATGGTTGAGAAATGAGCCTGGTGAGAAGCTTACATGAATCCGATGATCGCAACAATCTTGATGATGGCAAAAACAAACTCTGTTTCGCCGTAGAATCGGATACCTGCCATGTTGATGGCAATGATCAAGACGAGAAATATAGTGACGAAAACTGCATTTGGAACAACCTCGTTCCAGTAGGATATCGTCAAGACCGCAGCGATTATTTCCAGGGGCAGCACCATCAACCACTGTAGGAAGTAGCTAAGCAGACAAATTAGATCAACAATTTGAGGTAGGCATTGTTGTACAAAAAGACTTACACCCAGCTGAGGGCAAATCCCCAAGAGGGATCAAGGAATCGGGTTGAAAAGGTTATAAATGAGCCTGCGACAGGAAACAAGACCGAAAGCTCGCACAATGACTGCATAGTGCAGTATAGCAAAGCACCGACGCCGATGTACGCGAGAAGCAGGCCAGCTGGTCCTGCATGATAAAGGCCGGCACCCGAAGCAACAAAAAGCCCAGTGCCTTTGATGTCAGTTTTACTTTCCGAGATCGGATCATAAATGGGAACCTCACCAATCGAGCCACCAAATGCAATCATTTGAAGATGTCTTCCTTTGAGCTCTCTCGCCAATGGCGTCGTCGCAGTTTTGGCGTTGGCTGCATGAACATCGTAATGACCATTCCTCATAATAGGCCGAATGCTGCCGTGGCGCATGGTCTTTTCGCGTCGGCGCTCGCTACGTTGGAAACCTGCGAACCAGCTGGTAGGTTCTTTCGCCATCGTCGAAACGTTCCATGTTGTGCCAATTCCCAAGTCTGTCATCTCAATCACTTCGACATCGCGAGTGACCGTTATCTTCTTATCGACCATCTTTCTGTTGGACGGCCTTGCCCATAAATACGAAGATTTAGTTCCAGGGAATAGTAACAGAGGAATAACACATGCTATTTCATCATCGGAAGGCACACGTAGACCATTTATCTTACGACCCTCCAGCTCTTCTTACCCATAGCTTGAACGGCGTGAAACTTTAATTATTAGGTTCAATAGTATGGAACTATCAGACAGCCTTCTAAGAAGAGTCCACTAGTGTAGTTCATTATCGCGCTCCAGTAAGGACTTGCGATAGCTGGGCCCAGACACTTTCCAGCATTTAAAGGCATCAAGTGATGTTTTTGCCACCCCCTATCTTCTTGCTTATCATAAGGCTAGCAGCTAAAAAGAAAACAGTTTAGCAAAGGTACTAGCACACGCGCTATGCTACATTCATCGTTTATCTTAGCTAGTAGCTGATAAACAAATCTCTCGTACACACACACTTCATTAAAAGCTCGACATGGGGCTGTCGGTGGCAGGGGTTAACCTTTAGGTGGCATGAGTCGCGATCATTGTAGAACGCGATAAATTGACACTACTCCGTACCATCTGTGTAGATATATATGGCATCTGGCTTATTTTCTTTGATTTATATATATCTAGTCTGTGCTTTATCTGTGCTTTTTTTAATGAATGTCTTTAGCCCTTACCACTACATAGGTATAATATATAAAGCAATCTGCTTTTATTTCTAGATATTCGGCCCTTAATAATCTGTAATAGACTGTTTAATAACTCCTTTTGGGCTTTTCTTCTTCTTTCTTTAGGCCTTACTTATTGTCTGTTGTTTAGCTGGGCCGATCCTGCTAAGGGTGTTGGTATTGTGCTTGAGGATCTGCTGTTCTATCGATAAAAGGTATGTTTTCGCGTTAAGGGCGGGGTATCGATGTGGCTTTGTATGCTCTGCTGATCACCCGTTGAATTATAACAACGACAGTTGCGAATCACACAATTCCCTGGGACATATCATGGTACAGGTCCACAAAATATGGCAAATCAGTCAGGGTGTCGCAAGTTGACATCTTCGGTGGTACCGACTGTTGAACGAGCTTTCATTGGCTCATGAGTAAGCAGCAGGGATATCGCAGATAAGGAACAATACCCCATAAAACTCGGGCGGATGGATCGTACCGCTAGCCTAAAACGACGGAATGTCGTTCTGCATCTGCCAATAAGCCTACGCTGCTATCTTGACATTCAGTTGGGCCAGGAGCAGTCTTACCCACAATATTTGGGGTTCACCGCTCATGATTCGTTTTTAAAGTACGCTTAGAAACCTTAGTGCTTATCTGAGCCGGCGTGGCGGAGTTCCACCTGGCCAACCTGTACTCGAATTTGCAAAGCCAGCTGGTAATCACTCTAGAGGGCAATTCTAATACCTATTTTAATTGGTATAATAAGATGATAGTTAGTTATATAATAGCCATAATCAGGCTCTAGGCTCTTATATACAGCAGGTATTATATTGGTAGCTATAATTAGTATTAGTAGCTATAACTAACAGTTAGGTTAAGGAATATACTTTATTGTAGGCTTAGTGCAGTATATTAAAAAGATTAATTAAAGATCTTTTAAGTAGGGTAAGGGAAAGGAGGCTAATATAGCTATTAAGAGGTGGTAACTTAAATAAGCAGTAATTGCACCATTAAGGCAGATAACGCTGAGATCCTAACTTTTAAGATATAGGCCTCCTATAAGGGCCTGATTACTAAAGCTTTTAAATTAAAAGTTAAAAGCTAGATGGCCCTATAAGGCTAAAAGTAAGGGTAAAAAAAATGTTAGTGCTAACTACAATATTATAGTAGAAATTCTTTGCTTTATAGTTCTTCTAGTCTGTTTCGTCAATACTTAATGGTATGCGTTACCTTCTGCGATTCATCTTGCCGTCTGACCTCTTCTAACTTGAGCAAACACTGTCATATCTTCTCCTTCAGCTTCATCTGCATGGCACTTCTCATCGCCCCAACTGGAGCCTCTCTTCCAGTCCACAGCTCAAACTGGGCATATGCCTGCTCTTCCAGTACATCAACGCCTCTGTACACCTTCCAACAGGGATATCGCTCAGCAACTGTCATAATTCCTGTCACTTGCGGTCTGTATGCCATCTCCACCAGCACTCCATCCCCAGTTCCTGAGAACAAGGTACTGGGAATCTTCTGAGCTCCAAGATCGTCAGCTGGTACGCAGGCAATGATAAGCCTGATCTGAGCATTCTTCGCAGCGGAAGCCTCTTCCAATGTTGCAAATGCCCGGGTCGTGAGGTCAGGAAACCTCGACGCTAGATCCTCGGCCTTGCTCAAAGTCCTGTTGACCACAATGAGCTCCCCAAAGCCTAGAGTCTGGACAGCGTAGCATGCTGCTCTAGCAGCACCTCCAGCACCCAGCACCAGAGCCGACGATGAAGCAAAGTCTCGAGGTCCAGACTTCTCAACACATCTCTTGATGCCGATCCAGTCAGTGTTGTCGCCATGGAGCACTCTTTTACCATTGAATCCTGTGACGACAACGGTATTAATAGCTCCAATGCTCTCTCCTCTTGGAGAGAGTGAGCCCAACATCTTTCCGATCTGTAGCTTGTGTGGAAACGTGACAGATGCGCCGCCAAAGTCGGGTCGTTGAATTATGCTCTCAACTGACTCATCAACATTCTCGCTCTCGTGGATTTGGTAGTGATGTGGCAGGTTCAGAGCTTTGAAGCCGGCATTATGAAGTGTCGGTGATAGAGAGTGTGATATGTTGTGGCCGAAGATGTAGAACTGCTTTTGGCCATCCTCTTGGGCACCTTGCGGCACGATGTCAGACACATGAGTCATTGGGTTTGTTATAGAGCCGTCTTGGTTATCGAGACGTTCATGAGATGGGATATTGTCATCTGCAACCATGATGAACGGATGGATGGATTGGTCAAGGAAATATTGATGATGCTGAGAGCATTGATCCCTCCGATGTCAGAACGAAACATAGAGTCACCTGTTTTCCTCAACCGATAAGAAGTGGAGCAACTCTTGTTGTGATAGACCGGTCACCAAAGGAGTGGGAAAGAACTTTGCCGGCTGGAGCAACATCCACTCCTGGGCGGTTTTAGCGGATTCTCATCCCTTAAATCGTTTAGCGGTTTGTTTTAGGACACAGGTATGCTCAGCGGCCCATTGCTAGCCACTTTACAAGGCTCAGTATATGTCCAGTGTAGTGTGCAGCCAAAGCGGATGATTCGTGCGAGTCCCCACGGTCTCGCGGATATGGCTCGCAACCGATTCTATTGCCAAGGTATTGAGCAAGTTGATATGCGTTCCTCTTCAAACTAGAATCCCATGTCAAAAAGGTGCTCAAGATTACTAGGGGCATCGTCAAGCATTCCCAGATGCTGCATGAACTCTGGTGGGTTTGCCAGCCTATCTGCTCGTTAGTACGAAAACGGTGCCTATTGTTTGGGCACTTACCAATCCGTCGAGTCCAACGTAGCGAGGCTGTCGAAAAGACCGTCGTCTTCAATGTTTGACCCCAAGGTTGGGTCTATTGGGAATGGCATTCCGCTTGGTGGTTGTGAATATGTTGCATTGTCCGGCACTGCTGTGTCCACCTTGCTCGACAATAGTGTTGATGGAGTTGGTGGTAATTCGAAATGGGATGGCACTGGTCTCTTCCCGTGTATCGGGATGAGTGAATGACCGTCGTTACCGGCAGATACAAGGCTTGCACCGTCCAAGACATCATCTTGGGACATTCCACCCGACGATTCTTGTAAGATGTGCAAACATCTCGCAACAGCTTCTTTAGCGGAATGGAAATCAATACTACTAGGAGTATAATGCGCTTCCTGCTGACGAAAAGACCTCACAACCAACTCCATGCAAGCTTTGATAATAGGCGAGATAGCACAGCGGCCTATCATCCGGACGCGTTTCTCTGTGAGGCTGGCCAAGAATGAAACATTCTCCCAATAACCGCTTGGGCGTTCAAGGATAGGACGGCTGGAGACCGAAGCTTCAGTTGCTGCCAGTTCAAATATGGTTACTGAAGCTATGCAAAGACCAAGAGCTTGAGGTGACAGGGTGGCGGATTTCAGGCTATCCATAGTGCTGAAGTTCTCTTTGCATAAGCCTATGAGCTTGCTAAAGCTCCCGGCCGGGGCAAGGTTCTTTTTGTGGTGTATCAGATCGTTCAATGATAGGACCACCTGGAGTGATCGATTGAAAGTACTTATCACATGCCCCGGAACATGCGAGTTTGTGTTCTGTTGGTCTTGCTGAGATTCTGGTTCAACGAGGATCTTGAGGTTCCATGGTTCCCATTCCTCATTCCCATCGGCCAACAAGCCGTCTTGGAGGAAGATATTGGAGGATGTGAGGTATGGTAGCGTATCGAGACGTGCTGCGACCATGGTTTCTAGTTGTGTGCAGCCCATAGTTGTCCGTTGTATACCATCCCGGCTTGACGGATCAACTACGGCGCCTTGGGAGAATAAGCCAAGGGATATTGCTGTGTATATGGCCCGGCCGATTGTGGTCCATGCCGAAGGCCAGCGGTTCTGATCCATTTCAAAAAGGCATATGATAAGAAGAGCTCGAACATGTCCGAGGTCAAAGATAGTTGGGTTCGCGAACAAATTTGTCTCTAGTAGATTTTGTGGAGATTGGAGGCTGTGTATGTCGCCAGGCTTTCTGCAGGAATTACTTGATAGTGTTGTCGACTGATGTGATGCATACGCAAGGACAGCATGAAGAAAGGCTAGTTCTCCAGATGAAAGTGAACTGGTAGACGTCGTCGGCGCGCCATTGGATAATGTGTAGGCAGCACGCAAGAGTTCGTGCTTTTGTGATATTGGAAACCAGCAATGTGTCGTCTCGAAATAGAGGTCCAGAAGGTAAGACCAGTCCTTCGGAAGGTCGAGGAAAGCGGCGGATGACATGGAATTTAAAGGCCGCGACTCGGATTCTGGCTGGCGGTTGATGGTGGTATGACGTGCCGCCTTTTCGAGACATTGAGGGGATGAAGATGCTGGAATAGGTATAGGAGAATAATTAAAAGTTGGTATGTCTGGTTGTGTCGTATTGGTGTCCATTGGCGTCATGGGTGCCCCTGACACTTCCTTTGTCGATACCAAAAGCGTAAGACCCTTGACCACCTTTGTATCGAAAATTTGACTCGAGTCGCCAACTTCTTCATCAAACTCACTTTCTGTAGAGAGAAGACTTCCCATTTTCTTAGATACCGAGGACTTGTGCCATGTTTCAAGTAAGAGATCAATAGAGATATTGGTCTCGTGGAGACCAGATGCAGGACAGAAGGATGATTGTTGAACAACACCCTCCAGAAGGCCACATATCCACTCTTCACTCCCTTGAATGGACTTGAATATCAATCCCAGCAATGTTTCGATGCCTCTCACGTAGCCCGGTCGCAGTCCTCGCTTCTTTGAGGGCCCATAGCTGCATGTCCGGTTGTTATCGATGCATGACTTGCATGACGGCCGCTGGCCACCGCATCGATCTTTGCGTCTCCTGCACTCATTGCATGCTCGTGTAATTCGATGCCGATTACGTCCATTGGGCCCCTTGTCTGAAGTTTCTGTATCGGTCCTTGCACGTTTTGAAGCTCGTGGACTAGCTTCTGGCTGACCTCTGCTTCTCGATTCTGGGGAAGTTGTCGACATTGTGGGGTTTTAATGATTTAGGACTCTGACGTCCTCACATTCTTCTGTGCATCAACTGCCAGTAATTGACGCCCGCCAGATTTCCGTGGTCCGAATTCATCAGACTCACTCATCACAATCATCTTTCTCCATCCTTTCCTAATCCAGTAAGCGTTGTGCGGGGTGACTGGGTCTGGCTGGAGCGGCAGAAATTTCTGCCGGTGCTGCTTGATTGGCTTGGAATATGCCGCGACCACTTACCTACCCTGGGCGAGTATCAAGGGTCGGCAATATGATTAAACACACTGAGGGCAAAGACATGGCTGGCCGCTCAGAGAACTGCACCATGGCTTTTTGTGTACCCATGACTCTGGCGACTCAAAAGCGTACATCTTGAACTTAGGCTCGATGCTTCGACGGGTCTCATGAGACCCATCATACAAAGAACCATCGACAGCCCAGGCGAATCATTAGAGGAAAGCATGGCAGCTTCAACTGCTACAACCCCTTTGGGGCCTTCGAGGATACCAACTCCTCATACACCATTCTCGAGGAAAATTACCCCCGACCATCCTCAACCTAGACACAACTATGCACCAAACGCATCTATCGCGCTCATTGGCATGCGAGGCAGTGGCATGTCGACTCTAGCGGTCATGGCTTCGAGCGCCTTGGGATTTCGAATTCTAGATGCGGATCAATACTTCTATAAGGCCACAGGGCTTTCTAGAGCAGTATACAAAGCGACTAACGGAATCTCTCAATACCGACAAGAGGAGTTGAGACTAATGAGATCCATGCTCTTCGACAACCCGACTGGCGCAGTCATCGTGTGCGGCCCCGGTGTTGTTGAAGGTACGGGAAAGGAATGGCTTGCCGAGTATGCCAAGGATCATCTCATCATTTACATTCTGCGAGACGCTGAAGAGATTCAACGGCATCTGAGAGTATTCGACGTGAAAACTATTCGGGATCTCACGCGCCGTGCAGCACCATCTTACCGAAAACTGTCGAGCTTTGAGTTCTACAACATCTCAGATATGTCAGTGTCCAAGCTGGATGTAACATCGTCACGGGGAGATATATCACCTCGAGCTCTTGCACTTAAGAAGGTTGAAGAAGACTTTCTGCAGTTGATATACAGCATCACAAGACGAGACGACTGCTATGGAAAGTACAAGGCAAAGAACAGCCTTTCATTCATACCACTCGAGACAAGAAAATTCACCTATTCTTTGTCTCTACCACTATCGACACTCAGCAGACTTGTTACTGAATTTCGCGGACTGGACACTGAAGCAGACGCTCTTGAACTTACAATACCGGCTTTAGCTCTCGGAAATGAGGTTGGCGTTAAGGATACGGCCGCAGATGGAATCAGCAGGCATTTCTTCGTTGTTAGGAGGAACATCCGACTTCCAATCATATACCATATCGACATTTATGAGAACGAAAAACAAATCTCTGCGGATGAATATTTCGAGCTCTTACATCATGGGCTGCGGCTGGCTCCGGAGTACCTCTCTGTCGACCTCAAATGCGACACAGCCAAGATCCAGAATCTCATTGCATCCAAGGGCCAAACGAAGGTCATCGCGCACTATGTCGTTTCAGACCCAGCAGAAGATGGCTGGAATTTACCAAAACAATGGGCTATGATTGAGCGAGCTCAAAGTCTCGGATGCGACATCATCCGTATTTGTCAAGAGGCAAGGTCCGTGGAAGACAACTTTGCCGCGCAGCACTTTATTCATCGAGTCAAATCATCACCAGCTCATACCATCCCATTAATAGCATACAACACGGGCCGTCTTGGACGCATGTCCTGTTATCTCAACCCCATCCTCAGCCCAGTCACTCACCCACTGGTCCGAAGGCTGGCCCCAGATTGTCCATCAAATGCTCTGCTCACAGTCCAAGAAGCCCAAAAAGCAGTTTTCTCATCCTTTCTTCTCGACGGCCAATATTTTGGCATCTACGGAAATTGCACATCGAAGAGCCTGTCACCAGCCATGCACAATGCTGCTTTCAAACTACTTGGCATGCCGCATCGATACAACATCTTCCTTCACGAATCGATAGACCAGCTATCTGAGATCATCAAAGATAACACTTTCGGAGGGGCCAGTATAACTGCACCGTTCAAGACTGCTATACTACCCATGCTTGACTTCCTGAGTGAGGAGGCAAAAGCCATTGGAGCTGTCAATACCCTTCTATGTCTGAAGAAGCCTACTATGGACTCTTTACTTGACAGAAACACAGCTGGACCAACAGTATCTCTTTTTGGTGAGAACACTGATTGGATTGGCATTCATACCTGCGTTCAGCGAAATCTATCTCCTATCAATGCTGTCAGAAGACGGACGACAGGGCTCATCATTGGTGCTGGAGGTATGGCTCGTGCTGCTGCATACGCTCTCGTCCGACTCGGCGTGAAGACTATTCTGATTCACAACCGAACTCGGCCGAGGGCAGAAGAACTCATCAAGCAATTTGATAGGCAGCACAAAAACGAAAGTATTGAGGCTAAGGGGAGTGGCATCGAGACAGAAAACGGAAATCACGATCATCCGTCCTTTAGAATCATCGATTCAAAAAATGACGTATGGCCTGAAGATATAAGCCTACCGACAATTGTCGTCTCGTGCGTGGCAACGCGAGAGATTCATGGCCAATGCTCAGCAGACACGAGTCTCCCAGATCATTGGCTTTCAAGCCCAACAGGTGGCGTGGCAATTGAGGTAAACATCGATAGCCTGGATGCCGTACCATTAAATTAAGCTAATATGTGCCCACAGCTTTCGTATACACCACTAGAAACTCCACTACTCAAGCAAATTAAGTCGCTATCAGAGAAGGGATGGATACCTGTTGATGGTCTGCAGGTCCTACCAGAACAGGGCATGATGCAGTTTGAATTATTTACTACGAGACGAGCACCGGCTAATCTCATGAGAGAAGAGGTGTTTAGGGCATACAAGGAGCGTTTGGAAAGGACAGCAGATACATAGGCACTTAGACAAGGCAATGACATCTATCAAGGCTATAATACCACCATTGTACGTGAACGTCCTCAATGACTCTTCTCTGTATCAGAACGTCAATTTCATATCATTGCACGTAGTGAGGCACCGGATGTAGAATCTTGGATAATGACTTACCCAGTGAACCTCGGGAGTCGTATCCCCGGCCCGGCATCATCGGAACAGTATTTTGCCGGCTCACTTCCGTCATTATGGCCTCGAGCGACACCATGTCGCTAATCGAGTACATGAGATAAAGCACTACCAAAAATCAACGACATCGTTGTCATCCTAGCTCATCAAGCTACTAAAATACAAAAAATGAGTTCTTTCCAGCCTGCCATTTTGTCAGCATCGCTTGGCCGAGCATGGCTCCACGACTTCGCCAACAAGGCCAAACAGGCTTCAGAGCATGGCTTCCAAGGAATCGAAGTCTTCTACGAGGATCTTGAATATGAGGCCAAAAGACTACACAGTGTCGAAACTCCCAGCAACGACCAGATTCTTGATGCAGCATCGCATATCAGGGAGTTGCTGGATGGCTTGAAGCTTACAGTCATTGGCCTGCAGCCATTCTTATTCTATGAGGGTCTGAAGGATCGTGAGCAACACGCGCGGCTTATTGAGAAGATCAAATTATGGTTCAAGATCGCAAAGATCTTGGGCACCAACACAATTCAGATTCCTGCCAACTTCCTCCCAGCTGATCAATTGACCGGCGATATGGATGTTATAGTGGGAGATCTCGTCGAACTAGCTGATCTGGGTACTAAACAAGATCCCCCAATTGGTTTTGCATACGAGGCTTTGTGCTGGAGTACGCATGTCGATACTTGGGAGAAATCCTGGGAAGTGGCCCAGAAGGTCAATAGGCCTAACTTTGGTCTGTGCCTCGACACATTCAACATCGCCGGACGTGTCTGGGGCGACCCCGCTTCTCCCACTGGCAAGACACCCAACGCAGATCAAGATCTCAAAGAATCCTTGCAGAGACTTCTCAAAGAGGTCACTCTGGACAAAGTATTCTACATCCAAGTCGTCGACGCTGAAAGGATGGAAACCCCCCTTGTCAAAGGACATCCGTTCCATGTTGATGGAAACCCGGCTAGGATGAACTGGTCTCGAAATGCTAGGGCTTATATGTATGAGACGGACCGAGGTGCATATCTCCCTGTTGAGGATATTGCCAAGGTGTTGATTCATGATATGGGCTACAAGGGATATGTTTCGATGGAGTTGTTTTCACGAACTATGGCTGAGGAGGGGGAGGATGTTCCGAAGCAACATGCCGAGAGAGGCATCGCAGCTTGGAAGAAGTTTGTCGAGCGGTTGAAGCTGAACGAGATCTAGACATTTGAACCAACCATACGATGATTCGTCTAAATATCTCTTACTCATAGAGAATCAGTTCAGTTTAAGTTGAAGTCACTCGGTTGACTGTTGAAGGAGAATATCTGATGTGAAATGCTTCATAAAAATATGTAGGTATATGAGATCTAGAAGTTGATGCCGGGACTCTTCTCAGCCGAGCCGATAAGAACGTTCCACGCTCCCTCTCTATCAAGCTTCTTCACTCTCTCTTCACCAGCCCAAAGCCTCCACTGCTCTTCAATCTGATACCCAATAACATGCGTTCCTTCCACCGTAGGCCAGCCCTTCTGCTCCGCTAGCTTGATCATTCTCGTCCTTCTTGGCTTGAAGCACATATCAAGCAAAACTCCCTTCTCAGGACGAGACAAAAATTCTTCCAGATTTGCTCGAACAGCAAGCTCATCTGATGTTTGAGGCTCAAAGTCAGGCACCGTGCCGACAACGTAGTATGGTGTCTCGAGTTTCTGGGCTTCCCCCTCCTTGACGTGGATGATTGTCGGAACAGGCGAGAGTTTCTGAGAGTCTCGCATGAGATCTTTTACTTCTTGCTCATCGCGATTCAACACGTAAATGATTGAAGATTGGAAGTATGAGCTGAGCGCATAAACGGCTGCTCTACTAGCTCCTCCAGCACCAACGATCAACGCTGGCTTGTTCAGAACAGGTACACCAGGTTGATTGCCCTTCTCGAGCAGACAGCCTTTGATGCCGCGCCAATCAGTGTTTGTTCCACGTAACTTTGTGGGATCTTCCCAGTCACGGTAGACGTTGTTGCAAGCGCCAATTGTGGCAGCAAGGTCATCCAATGCATCGAGACGAGGAATGATGGCGTTTTTGTAAGGCATTGTAACAACCAGACCTGCTGTAGTGTCTTTTCGCGCAAGGTCCATTAAGCCATCGAGGGTGGCACATTCCGTAGCATAGAATGTCCATGGTAGTCCGAGGGATAGGGCAATATGGTTGTGCATTGGCGGGGCGATTGAGTGACCGACGCCAATGCCAACAAGGTGCAAGGTGCGCTGTTCTTGGTTTTCTGAAGCCATTTTGACCACGATTCTCTGGTATGATTCAATCTGAGTGTTATTTCATATTTTGACCTTGAGTTCAGTTTATCTATGTCATTTGCTTCCCCAGACTTTAGGCGCGGAGTATTCTTCTGCCGCTTTGGGGAGCACTCTCCGCTGGATCAACCCCTCACGACTCCACTACAACCCTTATGCCAAAGCCTGACTGTGCCTGTTCCCGTCGTCTTATGTAAAAATCTGTCAACTATACAATTGTAAAAGTTCTACTACTCCATTCTTTGACCACAGGCAATTGGCAGGATATAAGAGATGTGTCGCCTGGAAGATCCGCATCGAAGAAACCCAATCTTGAGTAATCAGTGTCATTCTTCTTTCTCAGAAGAATTCCTGTCGTGGAGTTATCAACTAAGACAGCAAGGAGTGTTACTGTCGCCCAGTCTGAATCAGGCTCTTCTGCATCGGGGCGAAATCTGACATGGGCGTCGATATATTCTCCATCAGGCGTCAAGTACCTCAGATGATGCCCGCCAGGATTCTTCCAGTTGGATGTACTTCTGCTACATTTCCACTCCAAGTCCAATGCAGGCCCCGTAGCACGAAGAACACCGCGTTTGACGGACCCGAAAGGAGCTCCTGGATGATCAAGCTCACATTCAACAGAGTCCACTGACAAAACATGTCTTCCGTTGCCAGTACCCCATGTGATTGTACTGTTGATAGCCGTCCAAGACCACGATGGTCCCTGATCGCTTGGCCTGCGATGTAAAGCTCCAGATCGGTTTTCCCAAAGAAGTGTTTCAGGGAGGTCTTTCAGCCATAAGCCAGCGGCGTATTCCCCTCCGCGCATGGGGCTGAAGATCTGTGCGAGGCCTGATATCGCGAGAATTCTATCAGCTTTCTTTGTTAGGTTTCGTCCGGTGTATAACTGAACCAGCCTATTCCACTCCCACATCACGAGATGGTCCTCAGGCCTTGGGTGGTCGCTGTCGAGATGAGTGCCGAAGAAGGCAATAGCATCGAGACACTCAGTGCCTTTCAAGACTGTGTTGTCACTCGAAGTCCAACTTCCATTATACTGGAACGGGTCACCTCCTTGTCTATCCAGGTTCCATCCGTCATAGTTTCCCCTGCGTTCCTTGCGACAAGACCACGTAGTTGTCCACGTTCCAATAATGACCAGTCGGCGAGACAGCAAGTATTCCTGCAATGTCCAGCCCCGAGTGTCCAAGAAATTTTGGTTTTCGTCCCTTTCTGCGGCTTCGAACGTCAATGTGCATTGTCTTGTCTCTCCATCTTCGCCGCGAAACTCCACGATGGTTGTTCCTGAGGGAACTGACCTCCGGTAAAGAAAACCAGTATGAGCGTCGGGAGCCCTTCTGGCTGCAATTGTAAAAGCTGCATGAGTATAGACCTGGGTCATCTGGCCAATCTCAATTTCTTTATCGGCCCCATTGCTGTCCTGAATGATGCAGAGTGAATCTACCCAGACGAAACCGATTCCAAGCTTGTACGATGTTAGAATGGCATCTTGGATCGTTCTAGGAATGTCATCCCAAGGGATTTCGGTCCCGTACGAGTCTTTATTGCCTTCTTTAAACATTCTTTCAATTCGCCTCCCCAGCAATAGCTCAGAGCTGTATACTCGGTGTCTTTGTCTAGCGAATTGCCTTCGACGAGCTTCACGCAAGGCTTCTTATCGTTACCAATTCTGAGAATCTCGATGAGTCGAGTAGGGAGGAATCTCGGACTTGGCTTGGAACAGATTTTATGGGCTTCAGCTTGGCTGCTGTCGCATCTGACTTTCCAATCTCGAATAGTCGCCGCGGTTATGCCTGACAGGGGATCTGCAACTATGGGCTTTCGAGTCAAAAGATTTTGTCGTCCAGTCCATTCGACCTCTATATTCGTTAGTGGAAGAATAACACAACTGAGAACACTAGTTCACCTTGATCGGTCGTGATGTTGTACGAGAGGAACTCTACATAAACCTTTCCTTTATGACATGGAGCATGAACATATTGGTCTTCGATTCGGAATTCAAGCTTTCGATCGCTTGAGAGAGTCTTCTCCAGAGGTATCAGACCATGAAAACGCCAACCATCAGTGTAAAGTTTCAAATCATGCGGGCTCAATGTTTCTGGGAATCCCTCTCCAAGCTGTGAAGAGAGATACTTTCCCGGGCAGCAGCCGTTGCGCGCACCTTCTTGCAGATCATCAAGACGTATACCAGTGAATCTCATCAGAGAGGGGGAGGGCTTGCTGTACCTCCAGAAGTTTGAGTCCAAGTCTGTATCTATGAAAACACTTTCTGGTGCTTCGCAGAGGTTGAGCTTCCGGCAATGCCGGCAGGTATGGCCTCGGAGAAGTAGATCATTCATTTTCAAACCAGGGAGCAGGATGAACGCCTGTATAATGGAAGACTAAACAGGAAATAAGTCAGCTGTTCAACTGGCTCAGGTTTACTCCAAGTCAAAGGTCGAGCTAGGAATTTGGGTCGAGGGTGATTTATGCAGAGCATGGGAACGAGAAAGTTTTCAAGTCCAGATTATTTGCATCTTCAGCTAGACCTGTGTGTATCGTTTTCTTGGTCTTGCATGGAATCATGTGACTGTGGACCAGTAGGATTTGATCGTCAATAGTTGAGTCCCATCACGGCGCCTAGATTGTTCACTGACCATGGGTCTATATGCCTCAAGCATACTAACTAGTCGGAATTGGTACTCGGTAGTGCCGAAGTGGATTCAATTAGTCTACGGTATTGGCGGCACTAATCTTATCTGCCGGTTTAGCCGCTGTTAGCTACATTCAGTCGCTGATGACAGCGTAGCCTCATACCGTTATCCCGACTGTAGACTTGATTTAACAATTCTCTTTGCTATGGGCAATTACTTATTTTCAAACTAGCTCAGGAGATAAATCCAAAACTCAAGTAGGAAAAACTGTATCTCAATTTGCGCCGCGTAGGACGCATGTCAAGTTTCGACATACATTCAGACCTCAGTACAGTGTTCAGTAGTTAAACGCCGGGAGCTTTAATACTGACATATCCCACAATCAATGTATTAGCTAACTGGGTCTTCTATTTCCTCTGGAATATAGAAGCTTCTATAGCTGAAGTAGAGAAATGGTCTGAAGAGTGCGAATAGTGCAAACGCAGGTTGTATGAGGACATTCCGACTTATGAGGCTGGATGAATAATTTACGATATAGATACCGCTTCTGATTAGGTTAAGAAGACTAAGATAGTGGGAGAGCATTTTGAAGGTAAAGAGCAATAACCAAGGAAAAAACTGCAAAGGACAATAATTTCTAATAGCCTTAATTGTAAGCTAAGTGTAAATAGCCAGTTAGATTTAATTAAAAATAGGGTCTTTATTATTAGATAGGGAATTAAATAATCAGTTTAATAATATTAATTATAAGGATAAAAAGTATAAATTTAGTCTAAAAAAGCATAAAGAAGCTAAGGTATTAAGGGGATTCCGTCCCTTTATGTCTATCATCACGGACAGCCTCCTGACCTCACCAACAAGGCTAGACCTCTTACTCTGGAATGCTTGCCACAACCGTCACAGCATGAATGTAATTGCTATTCGTTTCTTACACTAAATAAGGGTCTCCTTCTAGCGCAAAATTGGCCATAGTGTTATTCATTTCGTCCCCTTGTACCATCGCCGATTGAGGAAGGCCGGGAAAAATGTAGATATTGGTAATGGTACTATGAGAGGACTAGAGCCATTCATCACTTAGCCATGGTAAGGGATGATGTTGCACTGGTTCCCAGAAATCGAAGGACAATAGTATGTAACTGCCTGGTAAAGGGATTAGCATTGGTTTCCTGAATAGCCCTTGGGCTCTTGAAGAACTCACATTGTTCCGGATGTAGCTGTTCCAAGCACAGCCACTGCAGCAGTTGAGGTTAGAAGCCGGCACTGAGCTTCCAATGGTGCCGTCTGGCTGGCATGCCGATGCGACGGAGGCTAGAGATGCCGAAGCAATGGCAGCGATGAGAGAACTGAAATGCATTGCTGGTTTGAGTAGAAGAGAAGAAAGCGAGGTCTAGATCTTGTGAATACTGTTAGAAGAAGTGATGCGAGTAGTGATTGATGTGATATATATATCTGATTTTGAAACGGGATCCACATCGTTGAGTTGTCAGTTGCTCGTAATAACGTCTCTTTCAAACTATATTTTACCATAGGACTGATATCAATGGTGGTTTATTGTCCCATCAATCTATGTAAGTTTCCAAGGTCCGCGGACAACGTACGTTGATCCGTTGAGGATCCTCCAAGCCTCTCGTGGCGAGGCATGGTAGATATTCTCTGTGGCTTCTTTGGACTGAAAAATGGCTTAAATTGCCGCCTCATTCTTCTTAGTTGCCGAACTGCAGTCAGGTAGTACGTAATGCAATATTTAAAGATGGAGAATGCTAGTATTAGTGGTCTTGGATAACTATTGTGACGTTGGATTATCGGCGATTAATAACTACAGAAACTAAATTCTTAGACACCACCTGAACAGTGCGAGGTCGCAAAAAGAGGCAAAAATATGTGAACTAATGTCAGGTAGTCTGGAATAGCTAGCCCTAGCCGAGTTCAAGTACCGCTTCGGCTCTTTGCGGGCCGTGCTAGCCGACAAGGTTTTCGTATACAGAGATCAGCTTCGTAACCGAGTAGGACCATGTCATGTCGTTCCAATCAATAATGACCAGTGGGGAAGTAAATACTATGTCATTCGAGGTCTACCTATTATTCTTGAATGGCTACACCGCTATATATCAAATCCATTTGCCTTGAGCAGGGAGTCAACCGAATCCGTGATATCCCGCAGCGAAAAGTCAGTTCTGTTACCGGCCATCGTAGGGTTGACCTTATTGTCATAGAAAAGAATGCTCGAGTAAATGCGATCGCCAAGCTCATGCGCAGAAGTCTGACTGATAGCCGAGGCAGGCTCCAACTTCCTGTCAATACTCTCTATGAAGCCCAAGAAATTGGCAGTTTTCCAGCTATCCTTCGAGCTAAACACAGAGACACCGCAGGTATTCTTTGCAATGACATCTTCTGCCATCAACATAACCTTTCCGCCGTAACGGTGAGGTAGGCTTAGGGAGCTTCCACCAGAGAAATTGTGATAATTTGTCTGTGGGATAACAACTGGTGAGTGATGGCCACTGTGAATAGTGAACTTGGCGAGCTGATGGTTGGTATTGTCGCTGACGATCAGAGTGTCATCGACTCTAACCACTCCTCCGAACCCAAAAGAGCGTGGAGGAGTGGTTGGCTCGCGGACGTAGAAAGGTGCGACTTTATCCTCGCAGTCAATGTGAAGAAGACTGGATGGATAAGCACCATTGACATAAAGATCTCCAGAAAGACCATTATCAATATCAAGAAACGCCCCGTACTGGCCCTTGGTGACAGCAGTTAGGTTGATCTTCCTAGTTGCAAAAGTGTTCAGATCGACTTTAACAACAAAGTTATCGCCGCTCACATCGTTTCCCGCGCTAAGAAAGAATGAAGCGGCCTCTACGACAGCAGACAGAACGTTGTTTGTGGGGTCGATGATAGTCCCAGAGAGTCTTTTGTCTAGGCTGTGGGTTATTCCAGGGATAGAGATAATTCGCTGCATTGATGAGCTGTAGGGATCCCAGACGGCGATGCTCGCGTTGTAGATCGAGCTGTGATGCATTGTTAACCTGGAACTAGCCCCTGCATGTCATGGGTCGGCAAACCTGAGGTACAGAAGGCAGCGCTGATCATCCCATCGGAAGAAAGATGGATAGAGTTGGAACTGATTGTGGAATAGGATATCGCCAGAGATTGGACGGCACTTCGAGGTTGTGTGCTTGGAAGCAGATCCTTCCAAGATCAAGGACGCAATCAACAAGGTAAATAGACTATACTTCATAGTGAGTAGATTCCTTCAGTGGCCCATCAATATTGTACGGCGCAGATGCGAGATGCAATGATGTCGCCTCAGGATTCAGAGCCTGCCTGCGGAGTAGAAGAAACGGTATTTATACACGTTCAGCGCATAAATGTCACGGAAAGTCCGGAAAGCCAAACTTTAATCATGCGTCACTGACATTGAGAAACGAATGCCTGCTCTGAAAATTAATTACGGTATTCCCCCTGCTTAATGCATGATCTGCGAAATGAACATGCCGAAACTTTATCATGTACCGAAACTTTTGCGCTCAGACGGCATATTCACAGGATCAATTAGCGGTGAAGAATACGTCTTGGTGCTCTTTCAACTGTCGATAAAAGACTCTGCCCTTTGCCATAAACGCGTCTCCATGTTCGCTCCGTCAAGCAGCTACAAATATTTTACAAGTTCTCGCATATCATCCACAGCCTCCAGCTCCCAGCACCGTCGGCTCACAGCTTCAGCGTAACGTATCGACACGCTGTTGCATCCATCCATGAACTTTTGTCGCAGATTCTTGTCGCTCAAGGGATTTGTACGACTGCCAACAGCATGGTCGACGTGCTTTGTGAATATCTCTCCGTTTTGAAGGGAAACAGTCACCTTTGCCGCGTCTGCTGCGATGCTTGTGTCTATATTTGCTGTGATGCGATTGCGAATGGCAATGACTGCTGGATCGAGTACAACATTGTCTTCGTACTCTGACGGCGTGGCTCTGCCGAAGAGGAGACCACATGCGCCACTATGGTAGACGCTGAACTTTGCCTCCAGGCCTTCCCTTGGAGTCTTCTTTCCCGTGAGTTCCAGCACAAGAGGGTGGACTTGTGCTTTAACAGACTCGATCTGTGCTGGGCTGTGTCCTCTCTGCGTTAGTGCCGCGTGCAATTGTATGCATGCGTCGATGACAGGGTGAATGACAATCCCGCACGGGAAAGGCTTGAAGCTATTCCAAAGAATTTCCCAGCGACCGGTGTTCCCACCAGCTAAGCCATCCTCATTCTCAGTACCGAGCCAAAGATCCAAGTTCTGGAGCACGTCTGACTTGTTTGTGCCGACGACTGTAGCCCAGCCGCGTTTCGCCTCAAGTGCAACTTCACTGCTAGTGTAGCCTCCTTCGGCCATGACAGCAGCTAGCAGGCCATTTTGAGCAGCACGGCCGACGTGGAATGACTTGCAGTGTGAACCGAACATCTCTCGAAGGCCGGTGACTTGCGTAGCTGCAAGGCCAATTGCATGGGTAGTCTTTGTTGGACTCAGCCCCAAGATCTTTGAGACTGCAACTGCCGCTCCAATTGACCCGACGGTGGAGGTAATATGCCTTGAGGGTTGTAAGTTGATGTAATAGACATAAGGATGCATACACTTACCAACCAACATCGTAGTGTTCCGGCCAGACAGCGAGTCCAGCCTTACATTCAGCTTCTATACCAGCCACGAGAGCGGTGATGAATTGCTTCCCTGAGATACCGCCTCTCCGCTCGGCAACAGAAAGAAGAGCGCTCGCAACTGGTCCAGTCGGATGGATGATGGTGTCGAGGTGCGTGTCGTCGTAATCATGGACGTGCGAAGCTATGCCATTGATCAAAGCTGCGTGCTGAGCATCTAAACGTGAACCTCCCTGATGTCCAAGGAGAGATGCTGTAGGTGGGCCGAAGAAGGGTGACATTGTTTGGTACTGGACGCAAGGCAGCCTATGTTAGCTGCCATTTGGCTAGGCAGGTGTTAGACTTACGGCGATCTGTGTAGCTTCGTGCTGACTCCCTGCTATGGTACAGCCAACCCAATTGTAAAAGCTTCGAACAGCTGCACGGGTCACTTCTTCCGGAAGGTCCGAGTATTGGAGGTTGTGCGACCAGGTAGCGAGGCGTCGAGTGGCCATTGCAGCGACAAAGTTGAGGATGACCAATGTATCAAATTAATAAACCAATTTATGTAGAAGAATTGATCCCGATTGTAAAAAGGCAGGATTGGAACTATCGCTGCTTCTATTGGACGTATAGGTAGGTCGCTGGCTGTTCCGACGTCATCGGTTGTTCCGTCGGCTCAGCCGATCCTTCGGGTGCCGATCGAGCCGCAAGAATGTCTGTCGGTTGAGCCGACTGACTAACAAGACCACTGATCCATTATGGCTATTAAAGCATTGGAGGATGTGTAGAGACCAAAGCTGTCATTAGTCTGCGAGAGAATGGGGTTGGCTCCTTGCTATGATAAAAGGCGACACATTTCCCTAGTTCCCCAGATTCTGAGCAACATTTCTCCACAGTCTACTTGGTCGCCCTACTCTAGCTCTTGTTTCTCAAGTCAGCTAAACTTGCAAGAATCGTTCATTAAGGAGAAAGATGAATTTCTTTGGACTTCGAGGGAGGAAACTCCAGATGGCCCAGATCTGGGCGGTCATTCTGCCGTGTTATCTCTTGTAAGTCAGCCTAGCTTATGCATGTAAACGAGTGAGTTTGCAAGAGCATCAAACCGCTGACTGATTCTGCTTCTAAATACAGATTCGGATATAACAACTCCATTGCTGGAGGATTCCTCAGTCTTCCGTCGTGGGTCGAAACCTTTCCTGCCCTAGACACCGTACACACCAAAGGAGCCACCAGAGACCATAACTCGACCCTTCAAGTACGCGTATCACCTCCCTCCATTTTGGGACTATCTACTGAATTCAATCCTAAATAGGGAACTGTCGTAGCTATGTACACCCTGGGCTGTCTCTTCGGCTGTCTCAGCTGCATCTGGCTGGGCGATAAGCTCGGCAGGAAGAAGACCATAATTTTTGGCGCCTTGGTCAACACGATAGGTGCAGCTCTCCAAGCCTCCTCCTACTCGCTGCCGCAACTTATAATCGGTCGATTGGTTTCTGGATACGGTTTTGGTCATATTACAGCTACAGCTCCCAACTGGCAAGCAGAGTGTTCTGGCGCTGCTCATCGCGGTGCAGCGGTGATGCTCGAAGGCTTGTTCATCTCCTTTGGCTTGGCCATCGGAGGTTGGACGAATCTGGGCATGTCCTTCCATCACGGGTCTGTCACTTTCCGATTCCCAATGGCCCTGTCGGGCGTGTTTTCCATTATCATTATGCTTACTACACCGTTGCTCCCGGAATCACCTCGCTGACTGACCAAGAAGGGCCGAGTTGATCGTGCAAGAGAGGTTCTAGCCGACTTGACCAACACTGAGGCAGGTTCTGTCGAGGTCCGCGAGGCAATCCGTGAAATCGAGAGATCCCTGGCCCTCGCAGGAGAAGCCAAGATCAAGGACATTTTCACCAATGGCCCGCTCCGCCTCTTACACCGTATGTGTCTCGCCTGCGCGGCGCAATGCTTCCAGCAAATGAGCGGCATCAACGCCCTCGCCTTCTACCAGGCCAAGATCTTCGAGGACTACCTTGGCCAAACTCCAAGGGCGGCTAAGATCATCGCTGCTTCGGTCTTTACCTGGCAGACCATCTGCTCTCCCATTGGTGTTTTGACTGTGGATAGATTTGGGCGTCGCAAACTGATGATGATGTCGTCTTTGGGGATGGGCGTTTGTATGGCTGTTGTTGCGGGCGGGTCGTCACAGTCGGGGAATACGGCGTCGGTGGGAGTTGCGGCGGCCTTCATCTTCCTTTTCTCGCTATTCTTTCCTACTGTGTTTCTTGGGCTTACGTTTCTATATGCTGCTGAGATCTCACCCCTCAGTCATCGAGTGCCCATCACGGCCATGTCAACTGGTAGGTTCATCATTCTCAATTTGACTCAGATCTCTCGCTAACTTATATCAGCCACTGCCTGGCTATTTAACTTTGTAAGTCTGATTACCTGCCTGTGATAAAACAAGATCTAAATGTGGGCTTTGTAGGTTGTTGCCGAAATCACTCCCATTGGACTGGCTACTCTCAAGTACAGGTACTACATCATCTACGCTGCCATTAACATCTGTCTCACTTTCCCGAGTCAGTACATTGCTTCAACCTTTAAGAAGAAACAGCAATATCTGACTGTTCCTCACAGGCGTGTACTTCTTCTTCCCGGAGACCAGCGGTCTACACCTGGAGGAGGTCGACGCCATCTTCTTAGAGAGTAGCAATATCTTCGAAACAGTCTCCATTGCCAGACGTAGCCGATTAGTTAGTCGCAGGGGCAACATTAATAATGGGAAGGAAGAGAAACAAGAAGTGACACAAATTGAGAAGGGGACGCCAGCACCTTAATATGGAAGAGGTCTAGGTGTTGCAGGGCGTGTTTAGGGAGCTGAAATGTCTTTAAAATTGTAAATATAGCACTCTATTATGTGTGTTATAAATTCGAATCCTTTACATTGGGTTATACAGAGCTATGTACCCGAGTAGACACAACCAGTGCTCGCCACCTAGATTGTAATCACTGGAGGCAATGAGGTCTCATTCTGCTCGGCATAACCACAAGATGTCATGAGCAATCAATTATATGTGTATTCTGAAATCTGATGACCTATTCATGAGTTTTATAAGTAAATTCATACTCACTCTCTGTCAAACCAACCACTCAGTCCGTCAAGTGGCATGAGGTCGGATAGACACTGACATTGGAATTGAACTAGTTACTAAGCATGATTACAGAAGTAAATCGCCACCAATCTAGAGGTGGGGTAGGCCTGTAAGGCTTTGGCCCTATGTAAACTTGGACCTCTTAACCTCCTCTAATGTCCAATTCACAACCCGAATCCTCAAGTACAAGACCTGCTCGTCGTCGCCCTCGAGGTCTTGTCGCATGTCGTCGGTGCAAGAGCCGTAAGCAGCGCTGTGACAATGAGTTCCCATCATGTTCGAATTGCCTCGCCGCAGGAGAGAAGTGCTCCTATGGTGCCAAACAGGCATACCCAGCAGAGTATGTGAAGTCGCTCGAGCGTCAACTCTCACGGCTGCAACAAGAAGTAGCGTCGCCGCGACAAGATGTCGTTGGTCCAACGAATCATTCTTCTATTCAGCATCAGACGCTATCGATGGTTGACACTCAATCTGGTAGAAATGAGAACCAGCCCACTAATTTGACCGACACTGCAACTTCGGACTTGGAAGCCAGTGCTGGGATCGTTGCTCCGTCGCCGGCTTCTTTCCTGGGAACTTCAAGTGGGTATCCTCTTACAAAACTACTGCGATCGGCATTGCCCTCGGTAAATGCACGCCAAACCGATGGAGCAGGAGCTTCACACCAAGTAAATGTCGCGGCTCGCTCATTGATAGGCGTGCGCATCAACATAGGGCAGCAGTCCGAGGGCGACCGTGTCTCTGACAGCTCCGATCTCCCCAGCAAGGAGGTCGGTGATAAGCTTATCGAAGCTTACTATGCAAGGGTGCACCCCAAGCATCCTTTCCTAGCTCGGAAGAAAATCCAATCGCTACACGAGGCTAGACTGGAGCTCGTCCCGGCACACAAAGGTGTGCGTTCAGATAGTGGGCGGAGTAGATGTGACTACGCGACCTTGCAACTGGTGTATGCCATTGGAGCGCGTTACCTGCAGCTGAGCAACGATGATGATCATTATTCGTCTCCAAAGGTTAGGATTTATCCCCCAAGACGATCTACATGTCTGACTTGAGAAACCCAGCGATACTATGCCTGCGCGATGGCAGATTCAGATACTATCTTTGCAACCGGTAGTCTCGAGAGCTTGGAGGCAATGCTTCTGCTCACGATATATCAATTAAGGTCACCGACTGGTCCTGGCGTCTGGTAAGCTACCACTGCACAATTGGCGGAGATCGATCACAGAACGAGCAATTTAACGGCAATCAGGTGGATGATCGAGACAACAATGCGATATTGCATCGATAATGGCCTCCATCGACAAGCCACCAACATCCCTCCAACTCTCGATGAGAGACGGAAACGGATCTTCTGGACGGCATACATGTTGGAGAGATCAGTTGCGCGGACCATGGGTCGACCTCACTCTATTTCTGATAGAGATATTGACGTCCCGCTCCCAGCCAACATCGACGATGAGCTGGACACTGACGAAGCCATCCTTGCAGCAATTTCTGAGTCGAAACAACATCCTTCTCTGATCACCACACTCACGCCAGCTATTCATATCTTTCGGCTGCAACAGATCGATTCCAAGATTTCATACACGGTATGTCGTGTGGACAAGAATGTCTCCGCGATAAAACCCTACAAAGTGGCTCGTCTTCGACAGTCTTTAGAAGAGTGGAAGGCTGCTATTCCTCAGACCGATCCCGAGAATAAGCCGCATCCTTATCTCACGACGGACTATCACATGATTCAATACCATAAAGCCATCATACTACTAAACCTCCCCTTCGTACCCACCCTCATCCCACAGAGCCCGAACTTCCACGAGATCGTCCACTCTGCCGGACAGGTCTGCTTCCTTTCAAAACGCCTTCATGACCAGCAGACTTACATCTCCTTCTCTTTACTGTCGCTGCATGCCAACTTCGTCGCTGGCTTGGTCATGGTCTACTGCTTCTGCCTAGACCCGTCAATCTTTAGCCCCAAGTTCAGCAGCAGCGTGCGAGCATGTAGCACGATGCTATACATCATTTCGGAGCGATGGCCGAGAGCGGTTCAGGCTCGAAATTCATTCGATCGTCTCGTCGCTGCCACGATAGAAAGTGATCATGAAGCAAGCAACGGTCTCCTGAGGTCTGAGAATGATTTGAACGTGTCGCGGGATGGTTTTCAGCCTGGCTTCGTGGCAGATGAACCAGGACACCTAGAGGTCTGGAGTAACTTCGAGTCAATACTTGGGGATCATCAGATTGATTTGGGAACTTGGATGCATGATAGCATATTTGACACGATGGGCACGTTTCAGCCGATGGATTGGACGGAGTAGGCAAACGCAGTCATGCAATTACAAGATTTGCTCAACTATATAGTAAATGGCCAAATACCTAGGTCTTGCCACCCATGTTCTATGACGCCTCGGTTATGTCCCATTGAGGGATTCTCAAGGGCAGTGCTTAATAAAGATTTCTAAGTTTACCAAGGGTTAAACGCTCGGCAGAGTCTACCATCATGTCGTTGGACCCAGTCCTCACTGCCAACACACTGAGGACACCAAACGAGGCCATTAGGATCATACCTCTCCTTTATATCACGGAGTCGGGCGTAGTTTGGTCCCCAGAAAGACCACTGCCAGCCAGGCTCGATCGAGTTTGCCTTGTTTAGACCAATTAGCCATGCGCGACGAGAGGGATCGTAGAGCGCTATCTTACCTCGTTCAAGTAGGCTCCTTGCGCAAGATCTAATTTCTTCAGCAATGCGAGTTTTCTATATGTCATATCGTGAATGATATTTCTGACTTCAGTGTCGTTTGTAGAGTCAGTCCAGCTTTGGCCAGTGATCAGATGGACTGTCGCATTTCGCCAGGAAGGATGTAGAGAGTTGTTGACGGGCTTGGAGCTAATGGTGAGGGTGCCGGATATAGAGAGGTTAGGCAAGCCATTCTGAGGGTCTGTTAGTATTGTGGACGGGACAAGAGCATGTTCATGTCTATACCGATGGTGCGTCCTTTGTAGGACCGATCTTCTTGTATACAGTCGCAAACTCGTCTGTCTTTTCTGTGACTGTCTGTCGTGAGATCAATCGAGAGGCCCTAATGCCGTAGCCTGCGCTGACCGTCCCAATGTCGGGCAACACCTTGAGCAGACCCTGCCAAGTGCTAACTGGGATCTTTGTCAAAGACCAATTAACCGTACCGTTGGATTTTTCAAGCATCTTTCTGAATGGCTCAAGAGCATCGTCATGGGTCTTGTTAGAAATGTCAAATCCCATGAATGATCCACTGAAAGTCAACGCCTCAGCTTCAGGAGGACCTGTCACGGTATAATAACCATGGATACCAGCGTCCTGAATCGCAGGGAAGATCGCATGGACATCTGCAATGACCTTGTAGAACTCGTCTTCCGAGGTTTGGTTCTTGGCTCTGATGTCAAAGCCTCCTATGACCACGGTCGGTGCATGATAGGCCTTGACAGTTAGCTTTGTAATGACACCAAACGTGCCACCTCCCCCACCGCGAATAGCCCAGTAGAGATCCTGGTTCTGACACTGATTGGCAATTAGTACGTTTCCTGCTGGCGTGACAATTTCTGCCTCGAGAATGTTATCTGCCCCTTGGCCATATTTTCCTGTTGCAAACCCGTGGCCGCCTCCAGTGGCCCAGCCGACCACTCTCACATCCTTTGGCAAATGTCAGTCAGGCACAGGCACTACGAATTATGGATGTTACTCACATTGCTGGTACCGCCAACCGCCAACGCGTTCTGTGCTGCCAAGGCTTCGAACATCTCGCCGTCTTGAACACCTGCACCAACGGTGGCTGCCATATAAGTGCTTGGGTCGTCTTGGGCGTTGGGGCAAGTCAGGTTAAAGTCTTGACGCAGATCGATACTCTTCAGGTTATGGGTCCAGATTCTGACACAGAGTTTAGTATCGCACGCATTGGATTACAACTTTACTCACGACAAGCTACTATTTCCCAAGTTCCTAAACCATGTTAGCAGGTATGTATGTATAAAGATGCCATGGTGATCCTGCTTTACCTTCCGTTACCAGCATGGCCAGTGTTCTTGATGACCAATCGTATATTATGTTCACCCGCAAACTTCAGTGCTGCAACGACATGATGTACCGTAGTAGCGTTAACAACATAGGTGGGAAGCGCTCCATTTGAACACCCTCGCTCCCCATCTTCGGCATCGCCGTAGATGCTGATTCCGTTCTCATAGACTGGAGTGCAGCCAGCGTTGGCCCATTCGGTGTGTAGACTGGCAGGGTCGCTAGAGTGGAACTTTGACTCAGACCATTGTTTAATGACCGTGTCACAGGTGGCGGGGTTGTAGCTCGGGTGGGATTTGTAACAAACAGCACCTGGTGGGATGTATCGGATCAGATGTCCGTCGACCGTAGAGTTCAACGTGTTCCAGGTTTCTGTAGACGGCCAACAAGATTCATGAATTGTCTAAGAAACTGTTAGAGAGCGTACAAGTCATATGTAAAGTAGCTTACGCAGCGACATTGGTCCTCTGCATGTCCAGACGTAACAAATGACCCAACCACCGCAAGCGCGGGAACGTAGAACTTCGATAAGAGGCGCATTTTGAGGTTCATCTGGCAGTATGTATAAAGAATGAATGAAACATTTCCTTAAACAGAGACAATTCCATTTTATATGAGCAAATGGCTCATCGCTGATGTCATTACTTGACATTCTTGTATGTAATACGCGGAAAAGTCAATGCGAAAAGTCAGTACTGGGGTGTATAGATACGAAAATCCCTATAAAATACGAAAAATACCTGAATTAGGCTAGCATCTCCTCACCGCTGACGTTGCTCTATGTGGAAATTCTCTTATGAAAAGTGAATACGCGTATAAGACGGTGGGGAAAACGAGAGGGCGGCAACATGTAATCAATATAGCCATTCTCCACGGGCAAAGTGCATGATAGTTGAGCATATAGTATAGCAACATACAAGACTTGTCATTAAAAGTATCCAAACAACCCAACAATCATTACCACGAGCAATGGGGGAAACACCCAGTGCTGTGTCTCGCCACCGCCGATAATGATTCGACTCACAAACCCATCAGTAATGGGCATAGCCAGCGCTGCAGTCAAGGCTTTAGCCATAAGCTTCTCGTCTCCCGTATTCCAGATAATTGAGATCAACACTCCGACAGTGATATTGCGAATGCCCCAGATCCTCATGAGCGCGAGACTGAACTTTTTAGCCAGAGGTTCAGTGGGGATGGGAAATTCTAGGCGTTGGAGATGGTCGTTTGGGCGGAGGGTTGCGTTGAGACCGAGGCCGACTATCATGAGGCCTAGACCGAGACTGCCGTTGAATATGATTGGGTGGGGCATTTTGATGTCGGGATCGTGTGATCTTGTTTGCGTAATGGGTAATAAGCTTGGAGCAGTAGGGTTGTAGTTTGAGAGCTTAGATTGCCTTGTGGTGAGATGTCACTAGTATCAGACGGCATCAATCAGCACTTATATAGTACTTTTTGTCAATCTTCGTACTATTAGGTTCTATTCCTTGCTGATTTATAAGTCAGCCCAGCTAATGCGGGCTCGTGGCAGTGTTGATAATAAATCCATCGAGTCAGATCTTAGCCTCGATAAAAGTTGCTTCGGGTGGGGCAATAAATTTCCGGATTTCGCGTTTCGGCTTCGGAGCCAGATACTGACTATTTCTAATTAACTCCATGCCTTCACATGATAAGCTGCGATTCGCAACCTTGTTGTGATCTTTTTAAACGTTGACTTATCAAGGAGCAAGTAACATTTCCATAAGCATTCAGTCGATCTACATATAGTATACAAGGATTGGTGATCAATGATCGAGACCGTTAAGATTCTTGCAATGAGTTCCCCCAACTACCTGACCCCAGATAGTCTTCGGTAACGCTATGCGCCGGTTTTCTGTTGCTCCGTATTCTTTCCGAGTCACCAATCTTAAAATCTTAACAGTGCCCAAGGTTTAACCTCATTGCGCACGATCAGCTACGCAGTTGTATAGCCAGCACGAAGTTAAGTAAGTCAGAATTAAAGCTTAATCAATAAAAAGCATCCCCGCTTTAACATTGGTGAGTAATCACTTAACCCAAATCCATCTACCAAAGTTTATTCCAAGCTTCGTACCTCCCATTGGAATACCGCAAACTGTCACTGTCATCAAGTTTTGCCCACCAACATCGAGACCAGCTTTACAGTTCAGATACAGAATATAAATACTGATAAGGTTCTGTCTTCTTGTTCCTCATCAATAAATTTCACCGTTCCCCCGTCTTTTCCTTTATTTTTCTTCTACTGTGTTGGGTAGCTGGTATACTGCCCGGACCGACTTTGATAAGAGTGTTATTTTGAGTTGATAGACCCCACAGCTGATGGCTTACATCGCGCGCCTCACACATTTTTCTTCTACTTTATCCTCTACTGAAGCTCCTCGAGTAAGACTAATATCACCCCACAAATCAGACCTGCAAGACTCATCTCTCTCAGGAGTCCATTCAAAATAATTACAATCACGATGGACATCCGCAGCAAGGCAATCGCTTCGGTCACCGTGGGACTTATCACTGGACTCTATTTCAGCGATAGTATCTTGACGCCCTTTGTTCTATGGCTTCATTCCAGCGAATACCCCGGCTGCACGTTGGCGGTGAACTGCAGCACACGTCTCTGTGCCCAATTTGCTGTATTCCTGCTGGTAATTTGACCTCACAGTTCACAGCGACCCGCCGGCCTGGGCGAAATCACACCAATCTCCTTGTCACTCAAGGCCATGATATAAAGGATTTCTCCATCTGCACCGGCCTTTTCAAAGCATCGCCTATTCGCCTCGTGGCTGGTCCTTTATCATACTACTCGAGGCTCTCTTCATCATTTATACTTCGATCTACCGATAGAAAGATGCTAACCCATTGGCATTCGTGGCGGCTTATCGCATCGATATCTCCCATCGAATTCGACAGGCTTCCCTCTCTTTTCAGCACAAGTCGCCATCGACACATCAAATCAATCCTTTACGTTTCAAATCATCAATTTATACTTTCCTTACAACATAAAACAGACTGAAGCTCAAATGAAGTTTTGAACTCCATCAAACTCATCCATGGTGGTGATTGTAAACCTCAAGACTTGCAGTGTCAGTTCTAGTCAAAGTGTGCGCAGCCAGCTGTCTACCAGAGAGTCATAATCTCGGGCTTAACGTATCAGCTTCAATGAGTCATAAGCCTAGTTTGTTGTTTGCAGATGACACTTGTGGCTTAGAGCTTTAATCATGACAGAGAACTCAAAATCACTTTGCCTTAGGAAACAAGAAAGTCCAACAACCAGATACGTTTTCATTGTTATGTACTGAACAACTAACTAGATCCCAAGAAATGCTTGCCAAGAAGCGTGTGAATGGTAATGTTCGAGGGCGGCTTGGCCAGAGCCATCCCCTACCAGAACCGGCAGAAGCGAATCATTCCATATCAATCTCAATCTCAAATTCATTCATCCATCGCGTAGTAATGATCGTAAAGGTTTCATGTGTCAAATGATCGTAGATCTTCGTAAGTATCGATATGTCATAGTCAGTGACTCAAGTGCCGAAGTCACCATGATCGATAGAGGGGCAAAACCCTTTACCAGCCGAAGTTCTTGACAGTCTTCTTGATGGTGATGGTGCCACCGCCAACGTTGAAGTTGCAGCCCTGGTTTCCGTTCTACGTCCAAGTTAGCAAGTCGCACCCAGGTCTAAGATATTAGTGTACTCACGTTGTTGTTGCAGCACATCTGGATACCGTTGCAAACGCCTCCAAGACCACCGTTGGTGAAAGAGATACACTCAACATCGGCGTTCTTGCCAGAGGAGGTGCAGCAGTAGAGAGACTGGCCGTTACCGCACTGGTTGCCCTGGTTGTTGTTGTTGTTGTTCTTGGGGGCAGGAGGAGGGGGGGGAGGGGGAGGGGGAGGAGGTCCGCCGTGAGGAGAGGCGAGAGCGCCAGTGGCGACGGCGAGGAGAGCAAGAACGGAGGCGGTGAACTTCATGTTGAAGGTTGGAAAGAAGTGATTGTCTCGAAAGAAAGTGTTGAAGAGTTGATTTGAGATCTGAGTTGATTGTTGAGTGAGTGAGTGATGAAGAAAAGACGAGTTTAGGGGGAGAATAGTCGTCCTTATATACACATTTTTGTCTCACAGAAATGCAAGTCTTGTTCAACTTGAGACCTCACGATACCCTCTCTTGACGCCCAAGTGGACTTGTGTCAGCTGAAATTGAAGCTATCGAACTCTTTTCCCGCCTCTTAGACCATAATGAGCGCCGAATTCATGCAAAGGGAAGCCCAACGAGAGGCTGGCTAACTCCACAACTGAACAAACATCGTGAAATCGTTGGAGGACAGGACAAGAGGCTGGATCGAGACCCAGGTCTAGGTTGAGCCTCAAGCGATAGTCCGGAAGAGCTGAGTCCAATACCTCATGTTGGGTCGGCACCGAGATCCCGAATGATCCAGCGAGGTGAGCGAAAGACACAAGCATGGCTTCTCAGCCGCAACGATAGCCTGTGAGTACAGCACATGTAATGCATAATGGTAGTCAACGGAGGCGAGGATGCATCGGTGAATTAGGCTTCAATGGCAGAGTGTTTCATTGGCCATGTTGGTCGATTCGGAGGCCGAGACCCGGATCAGCAGGGGAAGATGGACCAACAGATGCGAGGGCTTGACGCATGTAACAGCACGGATGTTGCAGCACGCCTAGAGTCTCGGGCCTCACAGCATAAGCAATGCATTCTGTTCACCCCAAAAAACTCCAAACACTTGATCTACTAGTCTTGAGCTCGGAAACAATCAGGGTGCAGTAACTTGGAATCACGTGTAAGACACAAGACGTTTAAAACGGTCCCAACTAGAAGACTATGGGGATACTAACAGCAAAGTTCAGTAGCTCTCATCACAAAGGCCAAAGTCCCAAAACTAAAAAGCTTATTCAGTGGCTCATATCATGGCTGGCTGAATATTGGTTATTGCCGTATACCCCGGATCACCATGCATATGCGCATTGACCCAACGCCGACATCCGCAGTCCCCAACACGAGCAGACCAACCTTAACACAGACGGCACTTATGTCATTTGTTGTCATCTAAACGTCCACAGTAGCAACGGGTGCCAATTTGGAATTTCAGCTTACGGGGCATGTACTTCAAGACATCTGCACAAATACCAGTCTCTGTCTCCCTCAAACTATCTTCGGCATCACTACTCCACTCGTTCACATTACTCGAGCACACACACACACTCACTCACTCTTCTGTATTCAGCTTCGCCTTGTGCCTTAAGCTATCATGCAGCTCCAATTCTCCACCATCTTCTACGGCCTCGCCGTTCTGCAGGGCGCTATTGCTTCGCCTGTCGCTGAGCCGGCTGTTGAGGTTGAGGCTCGAGACATTGAGCCTAGAGCACCTTCCATGGGAGACATTCCCTGGCCCAGAATGCCAGCTCTTCGTCGTAAGTTCACTTGGAAATGACAAAGTTGTGAATCTAACTTGATCTGCGTGAAGGAGCTAAGAAGGGCAGTGACAAGAACTGTCCTGCTCCGACTAACAACCAGGGAAATGCTTGTTCTTCTGGAACTCAGTACTGCTGCACCACCAGCGCTGACGGAAGTAAGTTTTCCTCTTTTTCTCTCCTACTGTGCGAGTAACCTGACACCCTAAAGCTCAAACCTGCTCCAACTCTGAGGTCTGCAACGCAAAGATCATTTGCTGCAACAACAACAGCGGCGTAAGTACCTTATCCCCATTCTTCGGGCGTCTCTCACAGCAATCAGTTCCAAATGTGCATCGGTGAAATTGACTTCAATGCGCCCGTGACCATCAACATCAACATCTACAAGGGCGGAAAGGGTGGTAAGGGAGGCGGCTACAAGTCCATCAAGGAGTAAGCGACTCTCTTGTACATACTACCCAGAGTCTTGTATCTACGCTTGTTAGCTGTACCTACCTTCGTTTCTCACACTCCTTTGATGATGGATTGGGATGATGAGCTTGGCCGATGGGACAGAAGAGGGTTCGTACATTAGTATTTAGTCAACCTTAGCTGTCCAAAAAGGGCGATTTGAACCTGAAAAGACTCATGTTTGCTCCGTACTTTCGTCAGATCTGTGAAAACATGGGGTAATGTGGATCGCAAGCTCTGTCTAGCGTAGACCCAACCTGGGTAATGTTTGGTGAGAAATTCTATCAACGCCCAAGACGAGAAGGGCAATTCAACGGCCGAGAGCCTCTCATCGCACTAGCATAGGCCATCACGGTAATAAGCATGGCTTGCGCTAAATCGAGGCTAGCTGTTACACGTTCTGGTGATACCACGCTGAGCCGCCCTGCCACGTAGGATAATAAAGCCACTTTTGTAAAAGCATCGGCCCCTCGGCATTGCGATTTGAGGCACGTTTGTTGTTTGTGCCTGAGCCTGGTACCTGGGCTTGAGATCCTTGATCGTTGTCAGCCTTAACATCGCAGTGAGATCTTAGTGTCCAGTCAAGAGATAGACGAAACCTGGCAAGTCCGGGAGTGTCAATGCGTAGGATCAGCGCGCTAGTCTCAGATCAATCTTCAAGTCTAGGCTCGAATAAAGTTGTATTAATGACGTTTGAATCAAATCACGCCATAATTAGTTCCGAGAGAAGCAGAACGCTACAAACAATAAGCTATTCCCAAAGATTCGGTTCAGTCAAGAAAAAGAGCCCAAAGGGGTCGTCGCGGCGAATCTAAAAATACCTCAATTGTATGTTCAACAACGACGTTGACGGTAGTGGAAAGGAACACCCGCTCTTAGTACGCCCAACGGCGATTATTTCGGGTATGGTCAGGGCCCGTATAGAGTGCCACAGAAGAAAAAACGGCCAGTGATTCCTCGCCACAGATTTTGGTGGCGGGGGATTTGCGCGACAAGGTTTCTGCTACTGCAAGCCTTGCCAATAGCTCCTCGATAGCCCTGTCAATAGTTTTGTAGCTCACAGTTCCCAGAGCCAATGACTGGGGAAATATACTGGGGATGGACATTTAAGGTGGACACAGGATCGGTGAATTGGATTTGATTTCGTCATGGTCTGATCATTAGATGCTGCATCTCTTGTGGGATAGCAATGCGAGGATATGCGAATGAAAAACATATTTCCGAGGGAATTGAAACCTCGGGTAGACTTGGGTTATTGCATTTTGTTATTGTATCACCGGCCTCGTATATTGAACCGTGCTGACGGGTTTGTGCCGTATTACCGGATGTTCGGCCCAGTAACCCATTCATCGTGCCGTGATCAAGCACGCAGTGAGACGTGGCAATGGTTATACGGCAGCAAATAGCCATTGACGACCCTGAGCGCATTGTATTACCTTGCATGTCCATTGTTTGCTCGTAACGCCTCGTCGGGACCGTTTCGGCACAAACACTAACGATAATCAAAACTCGGATGTCTTTGGAAACATCAAGACGCTACTCACTTAGCAATTAGTTTCGAGCGAGGGGGGAAAATAAACTATTACTAGACTCTCAGCTAGACCTGGATTGTAGCTCTCAACTCAGGGTCCAAAACTTCGTGATGATACCCCTGTAACTTACTTCCACCGACATCCGGTGCTGCATTACCCCGCGACATGGCTTCAACATTTGCTTTAGCAGGACCATATTGTGACTAATTTATTGGCATCGCGGTACCACTGCATCTTGCATATGGTCAGACTACACGCAGAAGAGGCTGGCCGACTAACCCCGGAAATGCACCTATCCAGAGCTGAAATGCTCACCGAGAGCCTTCGGATCCACGGCAGTTGGCAATCCCTGTAACTCAAGTCCTAGAGCCTCATTTCACAACTCAACCACCGCTCGCGAACGGAGGTCTGGGTGAGGCCGTACATGTTTCACTCTTCTCAAGGCCCAAAGAGTCTCGACCCCGCCTGGGATCTTGAGAGAGAAGAACCTAGAGCTTCTCGGCCGGGAGTCGGGGCATCCGTCTAACCCTCCCCTTTCGGAAACAGATGGATACCTATTATGGCCTGCACGTGTCAATTGGTTTCCCCTCTTCAGCCTTCAGGTGAGGCTGATCTAAAATCTCACAACGATTTGATTGTTGAGGCCAGGGTGCTCGGATCGGAGTCTACTGGGCGCGATGTTACCCAACGTGACAGAACCGAAGTGAAGACCTCGTTTACTTCATACAGAAGGTTTGATTCAGTAAACGGGGTTATTTGATTTCATGTAGGTATCATTAGTAAGTATAAGTCTCGGAGAATGTCGGTTGTAGGGCGGTGAATTTGGGTCCAATAATTTACCTCCAGCTTGAATCAGACGACAGATGGCACAAGGTCAGTAAGGATACAAGCACTATGAGTCACAACCAGGGCTAAATAATGTAATTTCAACAATGGTGTCGATACATATGTCAAAACGTTCTGGGCTTAGTGTGCATCTCTGTACAGCTGGGTTTTAATGTCGATCATCTCTTATCTGTGTCTGCTACCCTAGATACGATTGATAGGCCTTATCGCAGAGCCGCGTCATGTCTTCAAACGATTAAGGAACAAGCTAGAGAAGAAAATATTATATCCCTACTTTTGTTGCGTAATGAATTTTTTAATTCTATGGAATGTTGCGTTTTATTAATCTCTTACTATCTTGTCCATTGTTAAGTAAACAACATCCGGAAGGTAGCAGTCTCATTGAATTGCTTAACTCAAGTAATTGCGAGTCTAGGTAAACATACAACTTAATACGTTTGCCCAGTCAGCTCAATCCAAAAGAGACAAGTTAAAATTGACTTGTATATAATGCCCTATCCTCAATTAATCCAGCTTGACAACCGTGCACTCTGTCCAGACATTGCCTTCAATGGCCCTACTGTACGGACAAATCTTCTTCGTCTTCTCAACAATAGACTCTATCTTCTCCTTCTCCAATCCTCTAACCATAATCTTCATATCCACGCGAAGCTGCATATCGAGCTTCTTCATATCACCAACAAGATGTACCGTCGTCTCGACAATACTGTCCTCGGGCGCAGTGGGCATGGTAATGCCATCCTTGGCAGCCACGGCATTCATGGCAGACTGAAAACACGCGCCGTAGCCAGCGGCGAACATCTCCTCCGGATTAGTCTTGCCTGCGTCGCCGGGGCCGCCTAGGGCTTTGGACATGGTGAGGTCGACATTAAGAGACTCTGCCTCGACGTGGCCCTTGCGGGCGCCGACGACTTTGGCGTGGGCGGAGTAGAGGATGGGCAGGTCTTTGTTCTGCTGGGTGCTTTGGAAGCGCTGGGCTATGATCGGAGATCTGAGGAGGGTCGATGGATTGGGGCGCATGGCTGCGCGGCGGAGAGACTGGGAGATGCGAAGAGACATGATGATTGATTTGGATGGTTTGAGTTGTTTGGATTACGAACAGTTCATGAGGAGGTGTTGAGTTTGGTTTTGTGACGGTAAAAGTCATGAGTATTTAAGTCGAGTCAACCACGTCACTATTAGCCTTAGAGTCGTCTCTGTAGCGACGGACTACGTCATTGATCTGGCCCCAGCAATGTTGAACCATAAGTCAATATAGATTTATAAAATTAAAACGACAACTACTATATGTAACGATGCTTGGAAAGATAAAATAAAGCAAGTTTAGAGAAGCAAGGTATACCCCGTCAGACGAGGTCAGCGTATGCCAAAAGGCCGTCATTGTATTTAGAAATGAAACTTGAGCAACACAAGTGATTCGCACGAGTCTTTTATGGAGCTAATAACATCGACCAGTTCACTTGAACCATTGGGATGATTGTCTCATGTAGGTGCATAAGAAATGGCAGAGTTCTGGGTTTGCCATCTTGTACAAATAGATGCTTCGTGTCTCGTATGCTACCTGTTAGGTAGTCCAAGCATGACGACAGGAAATAACCTTACCATGAACAGTAAAGTCTCAAACTAATCAACGAACCTTGGCTCAGTCAGGTAAGGTGAAAGTCGCCAGCTCTTTGATTGGACAGAGCGTTCGTTCGGCTCGCACAATTCTCCGGTGTTAGCTCCAGGGTAGTTAAATCGGAAAGCAGAAAGTTCCGAATATTCCAGCCGGATGATACGAAATTGACTAAATGGCGAAGTTATAGTAGGAGGCTTCTTATTTAAAGATACATAAAGACTGGAAAGAAATTCCATAGGGATTCAACTTAGCAATATCTCACTAGAGTTTCCTTTCACCACTTGTTCGCTGGAAACTACAAACTCACTATTCGTTTTTTCCACCAAGATGTTATTCACTTGCCACAACAGAATCTTGATCGTCGGAGGAGGACTTGGAGGACTCGCTCTCGCTCAGGGGCTCAAACACGCGAGTCCACCTGTTCCATTCCACATCTTTGAGCGTGATTCATCCGCAGACTTCCGTCCCCAAGGTTATCGCATTCGCATCAACCCCGACGGCGTGGGTGCACTCCACAAACTGCTCCCAGACAATCTCTGGAAGGCCTACGAAGATACCTGTGCCTTCGCCAACCCAGCCATGAGCGGTCTCGATGCTGTCACCGGTCAGAAACCAACACCGTCTGGTGAGCGACGCGGTCCACCTCCGATGCCGGAGGGGAAGTATTTTAACGCTGATCGTGTTGTTCTTCGAAATGTGCTCATGGAGGGGCTAGAAGATGGTATCAGCTTTGGAAAGAGGTTCAAAAGCTATCGCATCACCAGTGATGGTGTCGAGGTGACGTTTACAGATGGCACCAAGGAAACAGGAGCCATCCTGGTCGGCGCCGACGGTGCCAGATCACAGATTCGTCGGCAGCTGATGCCGAATTACACTGTCTTGGACACCGAGTGCGGAGCGATCTATGGAAAGACATTCACCAAGCCCGAAACTCGAGCTTCGATGGCTAACGAATTCTTCGGAGGAATATGTCTTGCTGGAGATAGCAGCAAGCCTGGGCTCAAGCTCTTCACTGATGCAATGGCGTTTCCACAAGACCTAAGCTTTGACGAAAGGAACAAGTACAGGGTGCCAGATGACTACCTGTACTGGGTGCTATGTATCAACCGAACCCTGCTGGGAATCAAAGCAGAAGATCTCCACGGCCTCGATGCCGCCCAGTCTGTAGAAACGACACTGGAGATGACCAAGAGCTGGCATCCAACCGTTCGGTCATTGCTGCTGAAACAGGAGCCATCTGCATCGTCGACGCTTGCATTCTTCACATCCTCGCCAGAGACATTCAAGAGGGAATGGGATGGACTGGGAAAGAGCCCTGACTGTGCGGTAGTGACTTTGCTGGGCGATGCAGCACATCCCATGACCCCTGTTGGAGGTGTCGGTGCCAACTCCGCGTTCCAAGAAGCAGCAGATCTGTGCAGCGTTATTACCCGTGCCTCTTTTGGCGCTGAGGCGCTTAAAGACTACGCCAGGTTGATGACGGCGCGTGGCGAGAAGACGGTGGGACTTAGTGGTGGTGGCGCAGAACATATGTTCCAAATGAAGCCATTCTCTGAGCTGAAGGTGGCATCTCTCTGACTCTATCAGATGCGCTATCAACTCTATTTCAGCTTCCAATAAGGAAGTACCGAACTGACGAGGTATTTTACACTCGAAAACCCTTGTCTATAGATTCTATACTTCCAGTCCGAGGATATTTTCAACCATAAAGATACTTCTTACTAAGACTGCTCTGAAACTTCCCAGTGAAGTCAAGCGCGACCTTCATCGCAAGCTAAAATTGCCTTGAATATGTAAATTCTCCTCTAACTGTAGTTAAATAAATGTTATACATTTTTAAAGGAATGTGTAAATAAAATATACATATCAAATAGCACACGAATTGCTGGCTTCCACCTGATCATTGCATTAACAAACAGACATCATGATTTTTAAAATAAATAAGTGTGAGCTAATGGATATCCGACGTTCTGTCTTAGAAGCCACGACTGCGGCGCCAAACACGCCTCCCACCAAGAAAAGCTCGCGACAAAAACGAATGAGTTCGCTGAGTCCGAATGCCGAGGTGATGATGACTAAATCGGCTATGCCCACTTATAGAGTCGGAATTAAAGCACAAGTCAGAACAATCGGAGACTTAGTGAGCTTAATTTGGCTTGTTGGTGGTCGGCAAACTCAGCCACCAAAAAGAACAATGTCTAGCGCTGTGACCTCAACAGGAACAATCTCTAGCGTAGCAAACAAATGTTGGATTCACATGAAGATGTAAGAATCAATTGACATATAAGGATCTTACTTATGCCATAATGATTTCTGTCAAGTCCACTGAGTCGGCCAGTCTAATCATCTTATGCCATGGCAAGCAGTTCCAACATGAGTACCAAACTTCCCTTCCAACAATCGATGGAGATAATCTGTAGCCAAACGCCATGCACAAGTATCGTCGCTGCTGGAGCCATAGTTGTCACTTCTATCTTGCTGGTCGCTTTGAGATTCTTGAGCGGAACACCCAAAGTCAAGATACTCCTTCAAGACGAGATCAAAAGTGCGCGACACAGAGCTCTGGAGTATTGCTTCAATCCTCGAGCTGTTATGGCGAAAGGATATGCAAGGGTATGGCAACAACTGTCGTGCACAAGGCGAAATGCTAACGGTCTAGTTCAAAAATGAGGTCTTTGGTCTTGATACGCAGGATGGTAAGACGCGCGATGATACTAATCGATTAAACTCACTGACAGATTGAAAGGAGTCAAACTTGTGATTCCACCTAGCTTCCTCGATGAACTAAAAAGCCATCCTGCGCTCAGCTTCAAAGTCTCAATTGATAATGTTCGCCTGCCCTTCCCAAGCATTCTGTTCGATATTTACTGACTATACAAGGATATGCAAATCGAGTATACGCATTTTGGCGGTCCAGCAGAATACGTAATCCACGCTATCAAGGCTAATTTGACCGCATCCCTCTGTGAGTATCGTCCCTGCGGGTTGCTTCGTATGCCAGTTAGGCTAATGACCCTAGCCGCCTTCACACCACTCTTGCATCGCATGGTTCAAAAGAACATGCCAAGAATTATCGGAAAATACAAAGGTTAGTCTCGTAATCAACTAAGCTGAGGCTCCACTGACTAGCGACAAGACTGGACTCCCGTCAAAGTCCACGACAGAGTCCTCCGCCTCATCGCCACCAACAACGCTCGCGTCTTCCAAGGCACAGCCGCCAGCCTCGACGAAAAATGGCTCGAAGCATCCACCGGCTACGTCCTAGCCTGCTTCGACTGCATCCGCGCTCTCAAACAATGGCACCCCTGGCTCCGACCTCTCGTGTACAGATTCATCCCCGAGCGCGCAGCCATCAAAGACCAATGGCTCAAAGGCCGCAAGCGTGTCATGGCTTCTATGCGTGAGAGGCAAGGCAAAGGAGGGAACCTTGAGGATCCGCCTACTATGCTGGATCATTTGAGTAATGGGAGGAACGAGCATATTGCGGACGATGTTGAGCTACAGTTGTTGCATCAGATGACTTTGATTGCTGTTGGGACTGTTACAACGTTTTCGTCGACGACACAGGCTATTTATGATCTCGTGGCGCATCCGGAGTATATCCCTATTCTTCGGGAGGAAGTTGAGTCCGTGCCTCGAAATCATAATGGGAACTTCACCAAAGACTCAACAGTGGCTATGGATAAGCTTGACAGTTTTCTCAAAGAGAGTCAGCGCTTTAATTCACCCGATCTCAGTATGTCCACTGAAAAGAATTGCAAACTTCACGAGGCGCTAACAGGCTATAGCTACCTTCCAACGCGCAGCCATCGCAGACATGAAACTCCCAGACGGCACATTCGTCCCCAAAGGCACCAAACTAGAAATCAACACTTGCTCCATCCACAAAGATCCCGAGTTATATGAGAACCCAGAGGAGTTTGATGGTTTGCGCTTTCATAAATGGCGCAAAGTCCCTGGCAAGGAAAAGAAGTACATGTATTCCAGCAGCGGGACGGATGATCTGTCCTGGGGCTTTGGACGACATGCGTGCCCGGGGAGATATCTTAGCGCCATTAACATCAAGCTCATCATGGCGGAACTGTTGATGAACTATGATATCAAGCTGCCCGATGGAGTGAGTCGACCTAAGAATATCGAGTTTGAAGTATTGGTAGGTCTGAACGCTTGAGCTGATGCTTAGGTTTGATGCTGACCATCGATAGTGCTCTCCTGAACCGGACTTTGAGATCCTTTTTAAGGACAGGAATCATTAGATTTCGCGGACAATTTCTAGTCTATATGGTTCGAACGAGTGAGAGTCGGAGAGGTTTGAACAACTAGCTTTGTAGTGGCCTTGGAACTTACCATGATTGTATGTAATTATGGCTCAGATGATAGTGCTGTCTAAGCGCAAGGACTGCCTTATTGAACGAAATGACGACTGGTGACAACGCCAAACCCTAGTATAGAGTAATGTGCGGTGGTTTTCCAGCATCTCCTTTCTGGTGGAGGTCGGATTAGCATATGAGAGTCTGACTTGATGCATAGTGGTAGAAAATAGGTCAGCCGCGATTGTTTCCATCCTCTAGGTGCTTTTAGAAACCAAGATCGATAATATTGAATGGTATAAAAATGCTATCCGCTCGAGTTGGCTAATCTCTTTGCTTCTCAGCCTTTATATCATGCTGTTTATTGACATGCTCAACATCTAGATCCTTCCCAACAGCAAGCAAATCCCTCCTAATAATGGCGCGAATATGGAAAGCCGCACAGATAAACCACACAATAACCAGTACAACCGTCAAAGTAGATGCAAAAATCTTGATACCTCTTGATGAAAGCGTGTTTCCGACGTTGATACTCGCAAGAGCAAGACCGACGTTGGGGAAAACAAGTGCCCACCAGGACAAACTAAACTCCATTCTTCGAGCGGCGCGGAGGACTGATATCGCGGACAGGGCTGAGAACCAGATCGCCATGAGCCAGATGAAGAGCCCTGCGGCTACTGACATGCCTGACCAGAGTTCGCCGGCGGGGATGCTGGGGGTGCTGAGGAAGTCATCTGGAAGAGCGGACTTGGCTTGTGTGCCAAGTGCAATCAGGCCACCGCACGTAAAGGCTGTAAGAATTAGCATGAAGTTGGGGATAGTGATTGGGGCGACGTTACCTGTTGGTCCAACAGCGATGAACATGCCAGGCCTCTTGGACGCATCTGGCAACTTGTGCTGAATCAGCCTCGACAAGTAAACAGCATAAATGAACAGCGCAAGCATCCATCCAAGTCCCTGGCCCATCAAACCCGCAACTATAATCTGCACCGCACTCCACTGCGGTTGACTCCCCGCCACCTTGGCCGCCAACATCCCCGTTACCAAAAACGGATACGCAGGCAATATCCATCCCGGCAACGCCTCGGAAATATCAAGCCTCTCCGTCTCAAAGATAATATGATACTGCGTCACCGCCACCACCATCTCACAAGCATAGTAAATCCAGAAGACCACCCTCATAGCAGTCGTAAACCATGGTCCCGTCTCCGGACCACCGTACGACTGCGCGCCCGTCAGGATCAACGCAATGGAGACCCAGAAAGCACCGAAGAAGAAGGACTCAGACGGATGGTGAAGACTCGTTGAGAAGGCGCGGGGTTTCATGACGAAGCGCGCGATGATGAGGGCTGTGAAGGTTAAAAAGAGGATGATGTTGAGGATGAAGAATATTTTGCCGACGGTTTTGAGGCCGGTGAATGTGTAGGGCTGTTCGTTGAGGAGATTGGCGAGACCGCCTGTTGACATTGTGCAGGGGAACCAACTCCATGTTATTCTGACGACGCGATCTTTTAGGTGTAGAGGTCGAGGTGCATTTTTGGGAAATGCTCTGTCGCGTGCTGAAGATCCGGATTCGATGTCTACGGGGTGGCCATTCATGTTGCGTGCATAGCCGTCCCCTGCGTCGTATGGGGGTTCACTTGGTCGCGACATTTTGATCGCGATAGTTTTTGTATAGTCGCGCGATCAGATCTGAGATGCTGTGGGCATTTGCATTTATTTATTTTATAGCTAACCATTATCTTCCTTGATTTTTGTTTCTTGGCTTCGTGACGAAAGCCAAGATGTCGTCACTTGACCCAGTCTAATCGATCAGAGTTTTGGACTAAAACTCCACTGGAACTCCACTGAAAATTAAGTTATAGAGCAAGCCAAGGCTAAGAACCGGCAATCGGCACGAAGGCATACAGATCCCGGCTAATCGATGTGTCTGTTGTTCTGACTCCTATGCATTTGTATTTTTGATTGAATAATTTAATACACACTGATGCTATTGCGTTCATGGAGTTAGAGATTCTTCGGGTCGATGCTCTATGTGGTATGTGAATGCACGTATTTCAGGAAGGCATTCTCACAGCATTAACAGGCAAGGTAAGGAGGAGTTACTTTCTAATCTTGTACATATAGGAATATAATTGCCTTTTTCACAAGAATCAGCGATTCCGTCCGTATCTTTGTCTGATGCTTCGGTCAAAGTCTTACTGTAGTTTGCCCTAAAAAGACCTGGAACATTCCCAATTCCATTGTAACTGCCTGCTTCTGGGATAGTGAAAAGAGCTGGTATCAGGCAGATCTCAACCTTTTGACCAAAAAGTGTAATACTTCCAGCTTGAGATTAACCGACCTTCATTTTCCACGCATCGAATAAAAACTTCGGTTGAGCTAGAAAGCCACTTAGACTTTTCTGTAATGATCCTGGCTTTAAGGTCATTAAATAAAAAGAGAGGCTTTATGGGAATAACATCAAGTCGTTGGAGTACATTCCATCTTCATGGTCTTGTTAACTTGGTCTCTCAGTCAGACGCAAGATTAGGCGCAGAGAGAATGGAGTGCTCACTTTCAGTTTTGATATGCTAATATAAGAGTCGTAAGTTAGCAGCCAGGAAGGCTGAAATATATCTTTAAGAACTAGTGTGAAGATACCTGCTGCTATAAGAGAGGCCAAAATGAAAGTTTTTGGGATTTGTGTTGCGTTATAGTGGCTGAGATGAGAACCCAAATTGTGCCTGCTGATACGCCTAGCCTATATATTTGTTAGGTAAGAGAAAACTGTTTCTTGTTCTGGGTCGGCGTTATCTAAACGCGGATGATAAATCATTGAAGAAGTATCGCGGATGTTTAAGTGTTTATTCTTACATTACCTTGGACTTATCTGGCAAGGCGAATGCAACTTTCAAGTCGTGTGTCCGTCTTTAGAGCTTGGATATTCAGGATTTAAAGTAGTAGAATAGCTCATCTGTTTCAGAAAGAAGGGCCTTAGCTGGCTTAAACTTACTCCTGGGCAGGAGCCTAACGGTGCTTGCGAGATAACAGGATAGGGTCGTGGATAGGATGTTGATAATGGGAAAATCTTATCGCGGCCTCAGTAGCTGATAGTATAAGATTATTAGTTCCACATAACACCTGCCTTGAGAATAGAGACGAGAGAGAAGTTTGTGAAATGACAGTAGAATTCTGTTCGAAACATGTTGCTGAAACGACTATGGAAGATATGTGCGATAGGTCTCTTAGGATTAGGTATTCAAGATAAAGAAACAATCCTACCAATCATCTTTGCTCCTCTTGACCTTCTGCTCCAGTGACAAAGATAATTTGACCATGGCGCTCAGTCGCGACTTGAGTGATTTCGAAACTTGTTATCTCCTCGTGCTGCAACACATCTTGAACCTCCTCCTCATCCTGTGGTTTCCAACCAAGAGCAGCTCCAACAGTTTCCTCGGTCTGCATCCATCTAGATCGCATGAGGCCCTTATGGACCTTAGCAAATCGAACCGCCCAAATTCGATCTCCTTGAACTTGAACGGACTTGGTAGTCTCATTGCTACTATTGACGGAGGCAGTAACCTTTGCATTCGCGATGCCAGGAATGTCCCTACAAGTCATTAGCATGTAAATATCCCAAGTCTTTTCAAACTCTTACACCTCCGGACCACCTCCAAAGCCCTTTGAGCTTGATATAGAATTACCAACTGTTCCACTAGCTCTGCCGATCATGAGCCCCGTAACCACGTAAACGCTCCACCGATCTATAAAAGGCATCTTCTGCTGATCGATGTGGTTCTGAACGTCCTCCTTCTTCAGCACTGCTTTGATGTATGCAGTCGACGGCTGCACGATCTCTATGTCCATCGTCTCATAGTCAACCCAGTTCTCCATAGTGCGTCTAAACTCTGTCTCGACTTCCGCATTTACCGTAGCCCCAACCGCATTTGCGATTGGAGCTCCGCCTGCGACTGTTGCACCACCCTCTCGTTCCTTTATGTTGTGCCACGAGAAGCCACAAAACTGGCTGGATGAAATGCGCATATCGGGGCCAAAGAGGGGAAGAGGGCCCTTGGTCAAGATGGGATACAGGTCCCTAGGGCTGGGTACAACATCCCCAAGCCGTAGGTCACCCTCAGCTTTGCCTCCCGCCTTGGTGACTATGGCGTACTCAGGCGGGGCAAAGAAAGATTGCTCAAGAACAAACCAACATTTATTCATTATGCTTGCTTGTCAGAATGAAACCGAGCTGTTGTCAACCAAGACTATAGATAAGTAAGTTTGCACTTGAAAATGGCGCTGTTTAGGCAACAGCGGCGGGGTATTACAAGGCGTCCAATTAGAGCTCGCTATGTATACCAAATCGCTCTGGATCTGATCATTCAGCATCAGCAAATTATTGGCTATCTATACCCGGACGGGTACCTGTGCACACAAGATCTTATCCGGCCTACGTGGCCTCGTATTTATTCGTCAGCTGACAATTCTCGGCTCCGACATTACCACCCAGTTGAATGATAGCTTTCTGTCCAGGGACTGTAATTTGCGATCCTCATACGTTCTTTTGAGGAGGTCAGTTGCTGATTGAGGTTATCTGCTATATAGATCAAAACTATGATACCTGGACTAAGAATGACTGCTAAATCTTGTCTAATAGTCTTTCGATAGTTCCGCGGATCCATTCACGCTGCTTCGCCCGATGAATATCCTTCCCACTCTTTAAGAGATCCCAAGGTCGAATGCACTTATATCTCCCATCACTACTTTCCCTGGCCATCTCTAAAAATATTCGCGTCATTACCTCCATGTCTCTCAAGCGGGAGATGTCAGGGACATCTTCTTTATCTGTCTCCTGCCGCGAAAAGTCCAGCAGCATGCCCGCCAGACCCGCTGCAATAGATGTAGAGTACGAGGATCCACTGAGTAAAGGCTTGTCCTCCGCGATCTCGACGCCTTCACCGAAGATTGCGAAACTATGCTGCCTCTCATCAGGAGAAGGGTTCAAGTCTCTGGACTCTCGGTTGCCAGCATTGGTTGAGAAGATACCGAAGACTTGGTAATGGTCCTTAGCAGGGAAGTAAATCCTCTGCATGTTTTGTGAGTTGGATGCAGCTGAGAAGATAAGAATTTGCTTTGAGCGAGCCCTAGCAATTGCTTTGGCAATTTCTGGTTGGTATTCCTTGAACCCAAGAGCCATGGTGATGATGTCCACTTCATGCTTTGTAGCCCAGTCGATTGCATCCACGACATTCTGGACCTCTGAGCGTGTCGGATTGTTTGTCTTGAGGACCCTCGCGAGATATAGACTTGCATTCGGGAAGGTTCGAATTAAAAGAGAAGCAGCAGCAGAGCCGTGGCCTGTCTCATCATCTGGGTTACTGCTGTTATTGTTTACGTAGTCTTTGTACTCCGCTATGATTCCAAATTTACGGTAGTGGTCATGGTCATCTAAGCGAATGCCGGTGTCTAAGATGGCGATCTTTACTCGCTGACATCCCGGTCCGGTCTCAAAGTCTTCTGGTTGAAGGGTATCCTTGAGTCTGTCGTAGTTTTCGAACCATTCTTGTGAGAGTTGGCGTTTCCTATAGTCATTTAGTATTTGATCAGTAATACCAACATCATATTCGTAGAGATACCTAGCTTCGTTATTAATGCCGCTGACAGCGAACGTTTTGACTTCTGGTCTAGACAGAACCTGTCGCGAAGTCTCGATGACTCGTGGCGTAGCTGCAAACCGCCTTTGTAGTAATTTATATAGAACGTTGACTGTGTCCGGGTTTTGATAACTACTGACCCATTTCTCTAACGGGACAACAATCTCGCTGTAGATAACAGATCGCATCGCGTTAGACACATCAACATTCGTCCGTTTCTGGGCGCTGAGATTCTCGCGCATTCTCCTCGCAAGCTCTCCAGTTTTGATACATGTTGGGAGAACTGTCCTGAACGGGGACAGGGGAGCCATTTCTGGAAGGATGTAGGCTGGATGATTAGGATCAAGTAGCTTTCCAGCAATCTTATAGTCAGTATTGATGTTTATTGCGCCGGGTGGACATAAGTCTGGGTCGTCCCGATAACTTTTCATGGAAGTTCTTGTCTCCAGTTCGAGGAGCAATAGGCCAAGAGCAAGAATCTTGGGCATATCATGTATCATTGCCATTGGCATGATATCATCCTGAGTCTCCGATTTATCTGTATCGTCCTCATTGACTCGAAGAAGCAGCATCGGCTCATTGACGTATACCCCCTCAATCCTATCTCGCTCCTCAAAAAGAAATTGGATGTTGTCCTTTGTGAAGCCTTGGCCTATGAAATCCGAGTCGTAGAATTGTGCCGTTGCCTTGGCCAGCAGCAATGCCAACACAGCCTTCATCTTTTCAGTGAATTTAGCCTTTGGTTCGTCGAGAAGGTCTGCTAAGGGAACTGCCTGTTGGCTTGTGATCCAATTCCGACTTATGTCTCGATAATTTCGCATGAGGAGCTCCCCATTCTGAACTGAGAGAAGAAGCTGCGCTTGACTACGGCCACTGATATGCTTACAAAAGCTTTCACAGGTGATAGGCGTGTAACTTGTACGAGGCTGGCATAACATTTGCTGCTCACTGTCTTCACGCGTAAATTGCCTGTAGTGCTATTAGCAAGAGGTTTCGAATACATATGAATAAGGTGCTAGACCTACACCTTGGGCGCTTTTGAAGGCCGTGGCTGCCATATCTGAATACATACATCTTGCCAATGGCATTCTCCTATATGTGGATGGTCAAAGAAAAGGACACCGAATTCAGCCGTGGTGTCGTCGGTGACTAGGCTTCTGTAACCATTCAATCGGATATGAGCTGCGATACTTTGTTGAGAGCCTTCTTGCTCGCACGATCGGTACTGAAGAAGCGTACGGTGTAGACACCTAATGTCGTCATCCAGCTCGCAGCTCACTTGTTGCACCTTTAGCTGGTTGGCAGAAGAAAGCGCTTCGCTTGGACGTGATTTCAGAGCCTCTGTCATATTTTCTTTCATACTCTTACCAGAGAACTTCTTGAACCTCTTCAGCAGTTGAACTCGACTTGCAGCTGTGGCACTGTCATTTGTGGAGGCAAAACTTCGAATGCATTCGGTTGCATTATTCGTATGAGACGAATGTTGAAGAGCATTGAGGGTTGGCCAACGCTTCGTGCCGATTTCAGTACTTCTCTTTGAGAAGGGACGAGGCCACTGGTTTGGACGGTCAGTATAATGCATAATTGAGAATATAAGGCTCAAGTCAGTTTTGAAACTTAGGAGGCGGGATAGAAAGGTATTTCGCAGGCCTTGAACCTGTCAGAGTCAAAGTAAATATTATACATACGCTACAGAGCCTTTCAAGATTATTCAAGAGACTCGCAACCTTCTTCTTTCCCTCGTCATGAGACTGAGGTAAGGGTTGTAAAGACAACTTAATACTCCAGAGGACACTGCTCAAGGAGCTGCAGAATTTGTTGTTGCCGCTGCAGCTTAGTTGTATGGAGTTTGCGATTTCGCTAATGCTTTCGATTGTTTCGATAGCGAAAGGCCGAAAGTCGCCACAAGAGGGCTCTCCATTGTCTTGTCGAACTTCTGTAGCGTGGAGAGACATGTTGACACGGCTGAGCTTTTTGGTAATCAGGAGATTTGGAAAATGAGAGGTAGCTCAGCCGCACCAAAGCAAGGCGGCCCAGCAGCAGCCCACGTGATTAAATCTAGCCTAAAGGCGGGGCAACTTATGAATGCCAAAAGGAAGCGGTTCATACGTTACGACGACAAATTACGTTCTAGAAGTTCTGAGTGAATATGAAAAGAATATGGATCTATTCTTTGCCCGTGAAGTCTGGACCAGTAACCAGCCTATTGAAATATTCACACTGTACGGAGTGGCAGCAACGAAGACAACTACGCCAAAGACTTCGCAATCTCTACACTCTTCAAGCATACTTTTGAATATTTCACAATGCCTCTGTAAGTTACCCTGACATAGACTCCCATGAATGATGAGAGGTCCTCTTGATGCTGATTAACAGATGGATTGCTCATATTGAATATCCTTATTGTTACGACTTGGCCGCACGATTCGACGACGAACAATCTCTCCAGGCAGCAATGCAGACATGCAACTGGTACGTAACGCGTAGAATTCGTGTTTGCCAATAATAACGCGCTGTTGGTCCAACGAATATGCATGGTGACACAGTTGAGTGAATGCAATTGGGCAATCAAGGTTTCGCCTGTGCGCAGCCTGCATTTTCAACGACAGGGGTCGAGCCAAGGTCAGCAGCATTCTGCCAGAGAGTTTAGTAATTATCGTTCGTTTGAGCAACTCCGAAAGATCTCCAGATCCTCTTGAAACCACAGCATCATGGAAAGAAAGAATAATCTAGGATCTGGGCTGCCTGCCAAGTCCGAGCCGACAGAGCGGATCTTTTGGAGCACTGCCGATCGACTTCACCTGTTGGCGTACCTCGATTGGTGCGTGCAACGCTGCGGGAATTTCGAAATCACGGCTCCAGGTTACCTCGAAAATGCGACAGGAAAACTTTTCTCGAAAGAGCGCATCCGGCGAAAGCTGTACCAGGAATGGAGATCCTACGGAATATGCAAAAATTTCAATGATATTTTTGAGCTAGGTACGACTGGTCTCACGCCTCTGGTAGACGAGGAGCAGGAGATGTTTCATCAAATTATCAACAGCATAATCCCTGGCCAAGAAGCGAGTCACATCGGAAGCCGATCTTTGCATCCTGATGCGCGGTCGAGTACTCTCTCAGCACCTCGTTCAATCTTTTCAACGAGCCGCTCTAGAGACTCCACGAAAGTGTCTACTCCACAGCCTGGTAGCTCAAGCGTGATCCCAGAGCATCCGAGACAACAGGTTAGAGATTGAGATCCGAAGAGTGGACTTAAACTAATAGATGTTTAGACCAAGGTAAAGCATTCTTTGTGGCCAACAGGGCTGGGCCTGAACGATGGTCTTAGTGAGCATGAACTTGCAGGTGATGATGACATAGAGAGTGTTCAAAGCGATAGCAGATCCATACTAAGCATTATTGAATCGCCGGAACGCTCAGATATAGAACCGAGGCTCGCCCCAACTATGCCCACCCCTCAGAAGAATACTGTGGTCGAATGGGAAACACGAACAATGGAAGCGGAATGTATCATACGAAATAAAACTCGAGTTTGTAAGGAAGCATTCCAAAGATGCTTCCAAATCCAGGATCTAGCAGAGGACGACTGGTTAGAGCAGAAGAGTGCCGAGTTTAACTGGTGGATATCCGGTCTTAATGCGGACAAGATTGGTCCAGGTTCCCTTGACTCTCGTCTAATGCTTCGTCCAGATGTGAGAGACGTTGTAGTGGATCTGCTTCAAAGCATGATAATTGCTCTTTCCGAATGCGAAGACATAGGTGAGTAGAGCCCTCCGCCTTCAAAATGACCATATCTGAGTTGCCGTGTTCAAATCAGCGAAGAAGGAGGACATAGCAGAAGACGAATCTCTAGAAGAGTCCTCTTCTGATAGCCAAGATCTCACAACAGCCGAACTGAGACGAACACCATCTCCTTGGTCTGATATGAGCGATAGTAGCGGAAGCGACGCGAAATCGTCTGAAAACGGAAAGGCAGTTGGCGATTTGTATCAGGAGCAGAAATTTTACATTGAGACCAACATCGAAATCATGATTCGAATCTATACTGCTATCAAAAAGTCTGGCCTCAAGTTCAGGAACCAACGAGCCGATGACGACTTGGCGAGGGCTGAAGAAAGATATCAACATGAGAGGTCACGCTTGGGCGAACACAACGCGCTGTATGGAAGCGATCCGTCGATCGGCGAGCATGAGAGATTCAGGCGGTTTTTAACTAGACTTGTCCTGCAAAATGGATACAAGGAGGGACTACTTCGCATTATTGAAAGCAGCATTCAGCGGCTCATCATTAAGCACGGGCCCGAGGCCAATGGTCATCCCGATCTCAATCGCCAAAAAACTCTTCTTGTGGTCTTGAGAGCTTATCTGTACGACACCTCTAGACTGACTCCAATTCAACGTCGTCTAATCAACGCGAACGTCGTAAGGAGAAATAGACTCATCCATGCTGGGAACGCTGAAAAGGCTCAGCCCCGAACTAAACAGGATGAGCCTCAACCCCTTCAGAAACTCCCCATTGCGAATGAAGTAACACAGCAATCACAGGTAGAAGAGCGAAAGCTAGATCAACACGGCAAAATACCAGCGGCGACACTGTCACACACCCCGCCCGTCCCCGGACCCATAAGTAGGAAGAGTTTCGTCAGTCAAGCGGCGACTGGATTAGCTTCGAACTTCAGCATCACCACTGCTTTGGTGCCTATGAAAAAGACAAGATCAGCTGTTACCAAGATGTCAGATAGGGTCGCAACTATCGACTATCCAAAATGCCCCGCTACTAAAGGACCGTTTCCATGTCCGTACTGCCCCTCAATTCTGTCGCATGCGTACACAGAAAGAAATAAATGGCGGTATGTCTCTGGTGCGACTCTAAATTGCATTGAGCTCATGATTTAAGGGCACATGTAGCACAAGATCTTTGCGCATACGTCTGCATTTTTGAACCTTGCGAGTCTCCTGATGACATGTATACATCGACGTACGAATGGATGTCGCACATGGCTAGACACCACTCTGCCATGGAATGGGTGTGTACAGAATGCTCTAAACACGGCGCATCGATTGCTGAAAACGCCTCAATCCATTCTTTCGAAGACTCCTTCGACCTAAGAGCACACATTCTCTCTATACATCCCGAGATGGATGAATCCGAAGTACAACTCATGGTCAATGCTGGGAATAGACCTGTTGGTATCCAAAAAGTCGCATGTCCTCTTTGCCGACCAGGGCTAGTATCAAATCGCTCGGGCGAGGAAGATGAAACCGTGGTTCACCCTGGAAGCTGCGCCGAAGAGACTGCATTGGTACATCTAGAAGAGGATGACCATATTGCAACTCACATCCATGAGTTTTCCCTTCAGGCCTTTCCATGGCCTAACGAAACAAAGAGCCAAGACAAGTCGGAAATGTCTTTTTCGAACTCCACGGCCAGCACCCGACAGAAAGTGACCATCCCGGCCTCAGGCAACCCGGATCCAATATTTGAGATCAAGAACTATTTATACAACCAGTTAGAGATCCCCCACAATGTCCAGGATGCAAGAAAAGACCCTTTATTACCTCGTAATGTTCCTAGAGAGACCCAGCGCTCCACCGATATTAGACGAGAATACATAGAAAGAGTCTTGGAGATGAACCTTGGGTACCGCTACCCAAAACGCCTCCTCATTGCGATCGACTTTGGTACTACCTATTCAGCAGTTTCCTACGTCGACATGGCCGAAGGATGTGCAGACAATTTTGTCGACCCGAGATCTATTCGCTCGATCGGAAACTACCCCGATACTTGGCACTATCACAATGATCCAATGGGTATGGAGGTTCCTACTCAAGTGATGTATCCCCTAGATCGCCATTTTCGCCACCGTTTTAATATCGATGATCCCGAAGGACATTTAAAAAGCGGCGATAGCGTTGGGGCGCCAGTCACTGATGAAGACGGCGACATCCTCATGCTCTCGGACGTTTCAGGGGAGTTTCGATGGGGTTACCAAGTACACGAAGTCTGGAATCGTCCATCTACACACTCCAACCCTAACAACCAACCTTTATCTCGATTTAAACTCTTACTTGATGACAATGTGCTGAGTGAGTCAGTGCGGCGAGATATAAGCCAGACTATCAATACACTCAGAGGAAAGGAAATAATTCAAGAGCCCCTTCAAGTCATCTCTGATTTTCTGACCTACCTCTTGGGACATACTAGGTCCCAGTTGCGTCGTCAGGGATTCGATGAAAGTTACGAAACAGAAATGATACTTTGTGTTCCTGCTAGCTGGACGCAGGAAGCATGTCGAGACATGCTGGCATGCCTAGAATTGGCTATGAAACGAGCTGACTTCCCGAGAGGTGACTTGAAGAACAAGTGCATTGACAACCTCTTCATCGTGTCGGAGTCGGAGGCAGCAGCTACATATATGCTTTCCACTTCGATTGAGATAAAGGTACAAGCTTCTCCCTAGACTCTTACCATGATATGCTTCTAATATGATTGATAAGGCTGAAGAGTGCTTTATTTTACTAGATTCAGGTGGGGCTTTACTCAGATTACGCTGTTCCAGCTAACAAAATGAACAAGGTGGCGGAATTGTCGATGCGAGTACCTATCAAGTCAGCATGCAGGAGCCGTTGAGGCTTGAGACCGAGATAGTGGCTCCTGAAGGTACGCTATACAATAGTAATGCAGGGTATCTTTAGCTAACCATTAATCGGAAAGGTTGTCTGCATGGATCTAGCTATCTGAATGAAGATTTCCGGGCCTATCTTGAAGGCATCCTTTCAGAGGAAACGTACCTCAATGACGGCGTTGAGACCATCCATGGAATTGCTGAGAGAATAACATTTGCAGAATTTGAAAAGAGGATCAAGCGGGGCTTTGACTATAATCTGACAACGTCGAGAAAGGAGATATATATAAGAGGCCTTCGTGATAATCCTGCCAAGGGTTTCAGAAATGAATGCCTTTACATTCCGAAGTAAGTCCAGCCCAAAAGCCCAACAAACTTCTCTTCCTAACTAAGTGATGATAGACAGAAGATTCAAGAGATCTTTTTCAGACATCTTGATGCTATAGTTGAGATTGTGAAGAGCCAGCTCGAAGAAGCGAGGGAAAAAGGATACACCGTTTGGGTAAGTTACATTTGGTCGGACCAATGCGATCACTCTGACATAGAACACTACAGAAAGTTGTTCTCACGGGAGGATTTGGAAACTCAATCTCACTTTTCCAAAGACTCCAAGAATTTCTGGAGGGGTACGGTCGGGAACATAATTGTCGCATGGTATTGATCGCACCTGGGGAAGGGTTTGTTTCCTAACTCCAAAGTTCTTTACGCCGCTCACTAAGCTCCGATGTACAGGACTTCCATCATCAATGCAGTAGCCTCAGGAGCTATCCTCAGAGCTTTGGACAAGGGGAATGGACCGGCCAGAATAGCTCGTTCAAGCTATGGCATATTGAGGACTGAGGCTTTTGGGCAGTACCCTGAGCATGCAGGTCAAATGCCGTCCTATGACCGTCATGACGGGATGCCCTACATGGAACAGACGATCGATTGGGTTTTGAAGCTCGTGAGTCACTATCTAGAGGCCTTTCGTCCGCTATAGAACTAATGAACACAGGGACAATTAGTCCCATCGGTATGGGAGTGTGAGCCCTTTACTTGTAGTCATACATTCGACGTGTGGCCTGTCCGTCCCCTTATCTGCAAGGAGATGCTCTACGTGTCAGACCGTGCGACAAGATCGCATTTTAGGATAACTCATCCCAACAACCAAGGTCAGTTTGAGGATCCTGATGATAGACATGTCTAACTGTGCCTTGAAAGGTGCCAAGTATGTTGGAGAAATCGAGATCGACTTCTCTTATCTTCGAGATCAGTTAGTCCCAGTCGAGCCGGCTCTTAGGAGTGATGAAAAAAAGTTTGGGGAAAGACACTATTGGATCAGCTTTACCTTGGTCATTAAGCTAGTAGGTTGCAACTTGGAATGTAAGTTCTGGCATAAGAGCCTGATTCCTAGAGTGTCGTTTTTAGCTGACATACTGGAGGTTTTGCTATCCATGGCCGGGATGTGGTCAAGAAATGTCGCATAAACATCGCTTCTGGTTTCAGGCCCGGGTTTAAATAAATAAAGGTATTTAGGAGAATGTTTCCATCAAGGTTGATGCATTCAAGAAGGGAGCGGACGAGTGATAGACGCTGAGAACTGGGTTATTGTGAGATGCTACATGAGGAAATAACATCAAAACAACAAAATATCTCCCCCTTTGGTAACCATGTCATTATATTTGGGTAATTCTATACAGCGACATTAGCGTCTGAAATGTGATTGCCTTACTTTATAGTAGATGGAGGCCTAGAACGAGATGAGGGTTTAGAAGATCAGATGGAGGATTCTAGAGCGTAGTTCAAGTATTTACGTCTTGCCAGTAGTGCCTAACCTGCCTGCAGGGATGTCGGTTCCAGAATGGCTAGGAGGATAAAGGTAGCAAGCTATAATAGCTACCTTAGTATTGTGGGGATAACTTTTATCTATCTTGATCTGAGGATCTGCTCTCGCTCTACTGGGATATATATTAGAAGTAGTCACAAAACATAATTAAATCATCAAATCAATTATCTTGTAGCCAATGAGGGCATACAAATCCTCCAGATGGGGGATTATCATTATCATTATCGCAGCGGCGCAGTCCAGCTCCATATCATAAATCCAAGCTCATACAAATCCCAAAATCACGTAAAGCCGTCGTTCGGTGTATATCCCTTTCTATCATGGCCTCGTAAATCAGCTACTCATCGTGCTTGAAAGACTTCTATGTCTGTAAACATGAGTCATTTATCCTGCTCCTCAGCTTAGCAGGAAACCTACCTCCGCAGCTTCCGAAAGATCAGGAATACCCATGAGCATTATCCGATCTCAAGAGCGCTATCCCCGTCGCCATCATGAGCGCGAAAACCACACAGACAGCGACGATGATTATCACGGCATATTTCGTCCAGTCGTCCCCATCAAGGTGTCGCATGTCCTTGGTCCATTCTGGCATGTCAATCGAACCACCCTGGACCAACCACGCGATGGCGAAAATGGCAATGACGATGACGGTGAAGATGAGTTGTCTGGCGTTGCGAACGGCCTCTAAAAATGGCTGAATTCTGGATTTTGTCTTTGCCATGGCTGGCTTAGTTTTGGAGGTCTTGGAAGCGTTGGGGCTAGATGAAAGGTGGAAAAGTGGCATCATCAACAGGCTGGATTAGAGTGCGGCGTCTCCCCGCATATTATAGAGAGTCAATGAGATCACAAGACATTCAGCTGATGGGCTGCTATTCGCGGGTTGGGTTGTTTATGGCGAATCATGTTGGGTTTCGGATGCCTCGGAGCGTTATTCAGCCACCGGGAAACGTATGTTTGACCCCACCTCATCAGAAACAAGGCAGTCGTTCAGTCTTGCTGACATGGATTTGGGTGCCTGAACAAAAAAAGACGTTAGCCCTGTCAGATATCTTATTTCCCGAGAGTCCGTTAGTGCATCGCACCGTTGGCACGCGATCTCCATCCCAATCAGATCGGCATATCTTCGCGTATCAGTCTCCAGCCCGAAGACTCACCGTACATTCGCCAAACGAGGCATGAGATGAATGCATTCGCCTCTTTGCATCTACACAAGTTCAAATTCACTCTTAATTACGTGACAGCTCTGCGATGAATCCCTGTAACCCTTGTCGGCATTTCAACATGCAAGGGAAGGACGATTTAAACCGGGGCCGCCGATCGCCGATTAAAACACTGGTCTTGGCGTCAGCTGGTCGGGATGGAAGTAACGTCAAGCGAATGAAGTGATTCATGTCCATCAACCAAGTCCAATATCAATTCACCATATAACGTTGGTTTGCTGGCTTAAGTAATATCTCTCATATTTTAATCCCATGTTGAATATCAATTTAAGCGTTTGCATTGTCAAACCAGTCGCTTCCTAATTCTTAACGACCTTCAGCTTTCGCTTGGTTAATTAGAGATCTTTCGCCGTTTGAAAACACCTTGTTTCACTTTGGCTGCTTGAGAAGACGTTCAATTAGGCAATTGATCATTCAAGTCCGGATGCAGTGACGTTAGATGTTACTAATCATTTACTACTTATTATAAATTAAGCGAGAGCTACATAGGCGAGATTGATCAAAGGCTTGACAAGTTGAAGCTAGCCAGAACAAGATAGCTTCTCTAGAATGGTCTCGATCCTTGGTTATATGCAAGCCATACACTCCATGAGATGAGCTGATTGGGTACCCAGTGAGGGCCGCCACGACAAGATCAGATCATCTAAGAATGCTCTACTACCAAGGGTCATACAGTAAGTTATAGGCTTGTTGAGTTCTTATTTTAATCTAGACATATACCACCGGCTTCGATTTTATGAGAAAACTGCCCTCGACATAACAATTGCTTGGCACCAGGCTTCATGCATATAGCAATATGAAGCCTAAGCATATCGCTCTTCGTTTGTGGACCCATCAGATCGCAGCCCACTTGACCAAAATGAAACAGCTAAACCAACACATCCACATTAGCCTGGTATACCCCGCGTTCTAGACTAGCTTCCCGCGGGACAGCACCGTCAAGATGCCTCGGCACGTTGACCGCTAGCTCCAAGGGATACAGGTATAAAGTCGCTGCCATCAATACCCATCACAGCCAGGAAACGATCTCATAGCAAACACAACCCCACATCAACAATGACTCAAATCCAGGGAACCTGTGACCCCAGGTTTCACGACGTTCAGGCTCTCCTCGAGAAGTACCTTGAGTCAGGTGAAGAGATTGGTGCCTCAATCACCATCGACATTGATGGCAAAGAAGTGGTGGATATCTGGGGAGGATACTCAGATAAGGAGCGAACCAAGCCATGGGAAGAAGATACAATCGTCAATGTGTTCTCGTGCACAAAGACCATCACCAGTCTCGCGGTTCTCATGCTCGTTGACAGAGGCTTGATCGATGTCAATGAACGTGTCTCACACTACTGGCCTGAATTTGAGCAAAATGGCAAGCAGGATGTTCTGGTCAGACATTTATTGGGCCATACGTCTGGTGTCTCAGGCTGGGAAGAGCCACTGTCGACTGAAGACATGTATGATGTTGAAAAGACGACTGCTATGCTAGCAAGACAAGCTCCATGGTGGACTCCTGGAACGGCATCTGGATATCAGGCTTTGTGCTCGGGACATCTACTTGGAGAGCTGATTAAGCGTGTTTCTGGGAAAACACTGCGCGAGTTCGTGGACACCGAGATCGCGAGCGTTCTGGATGCCGACTTCCAGATTGGCGCAGCAGAGAAGACCTGGGACCGCATCTCTCCGATCATTCCCCCAGACTTTACAGGAATTACACCAGAGTTTGAAGAGGGATCGGTTCAAGCCAAGACGCTACTCAACCCACCACTTGACCCCAACTCTGTGAACACGGGGCCTTGGAGACAAGCTGAACTAGGCGCGGTGAACGGCCATGCCAACTCCCGCTCACTGGCCCGTATCCTCTCCGCAATCACATTGGGTGGCTCATCCAGAGGCAAGAAGCTTCTATCTGAGGAGACTATCAAGTTGATCTTCCAGGAACAGTCTAATGGAAAGGACTTGGTTCTTGGGTTGCCGTTCAGACTTGGTATTGGATATGGGCTGACGCCTTCTCAGGCACTTCCCTGGATTCCAGAGGGCAAGATCTGTTTCTGGGGCGGCTGGGGAGGTTCGACTATCATCATGGACTTGGATAAGCGTATGACAATTGCGTATGCTATGAATAAGATGGGTGGTGGACTTGTTAGTAGTGATCGGGCTGAGGCTTATGGAAAGGCCATTTATCAAGCTTTTGAGAAATAATAAGTCTCTTCGGTTACAATGCTACATTCATCAGTGCATCTTGCTTGCTTATCCACTAGACTTCATCTGCGATAAGGTTGAGCGGTTGAAAGAGGGGTTAGCTACAACACATCCAAGGTAAACAACATATGGGCAAATTTGGTCATTGAGCTCTTTGTTCCCTGACAGCCAGATTCATTGGCTGGGCTGGAAACGTATCTTGGGCAATTATGTGGGCAGTGGCTATGCCCCCCGAGCTGTGATTATTACAGTGTTATTCTGAGTTGACAGACCTGAGAGCTGATCCTTGAATCACGGGTTTTATTCGTGGCGAGGCCAATACCGAGATTATACCGAACTCGACATCACGTTCAGCGGGCCTCAAAGGGTCCAAGATTCTCTCCGATAAGCTTTGAAGGGAAAGTCACTCGGACTGATGCCGACATAGGCACTGCAACCGTACAGCTGAATGTCGACAGCCTAGAATGTATGACGTAGCTCTAAAAGTGCATATTACTATATGGCACTACTCCTCTTCTACAGAAGGGCTATGGTGCAGCTGTAACCGTGCCCTTTTAACATTACGCAATGGACGAAATCCCAATAACGAGTTCAATTTATTCCGAGCCATCCCCGCCGTGGTTGCTATTGTTGGAAGTGTGGTTCTACCTATTTCAATCCCGTACATTGTAATACTTAACCCCAGAGTCTACCTCCAAAGTCTACCTAACGTTCACTCACACCTAATGCTGAGATAAGGTATATCCGAGGTTTGCCAAACACACTTCTCTTTTGTTGTAACCCGAAGTTTACTATTATACATTGTATGTTGTTCTGCTCAATCGGGTGAGAGGGATCTTTAAGACAATTAGCTAGGCTGCTACTTCATAATAACCTATTCACGAGATTTATAAATTGCAAAGCAACAGGTTTTAATCAAATAAGCAAGGTAAAGACTGAATTATCGAAGCCGGTAAAGACTGAATCATTACACAGTGAATACTCCAGGCTGCATGCAACCAATATGAAGCTAAACTTTGCCCTTGCCCACTCGCAAACTCGCACTCATTCTGATGTCGCAGCTGTACCTCTAAATGCCGTTCGCCTTAGCTCTAAGGAGCGGGGAGTGTAGCCAAGGCACAAGTCTTGAACAATCCAGTTGCCACAGCGTGGCATCCCACAGCGCCGACCCCGCCAGTGACGAGAGTGACAGTGCCATGGCAGATCATGCCGGTAGAAAGGGCTGTGGTAGCACAAACCAAGCTAGACAAAATACCAGCTGAAGCCTGCGAGGTCAGGAGCCCCGAAGCAAGAATAACAATGTTGGAGGCCCGCATGTTGTGATAAGAGTGATGCGGATACTTTGAGGGGTGGATTGGGCTGTCTATAGATGGTATTAGCTTAGTTCCAAAACATCTGCCAAGTACAAAGCAGCTGGAACAAAAGAAATGGAACTTTACAAGTTTTTAGGCTTGAGTTTTAGTAACAAGAAGAATGGTTTGAGAGTGATGGTTTTGGGTGGATGAAAAATAGATTTACTCGGGGAGGATTCAAGCTTTTATAGTTAAAAAAGGGTTATCCTTCACGACCGCTTTCCTAGCTAACTAGGCCTCAAGTCATATCATCTTCTCAATGTGCATCAGTATCACTTTGCAACTTTCTAAAGTCCATCTACACATACAGGAGTGACGAGTACGTATTTTGCACTTTTGGTGTTACACGGTAATTCACTATTGGTCGCGGTGACCGTCAGCACACTCAGAAAAAAGACTCAACCAACAATCCGACAGCAAATGGCGTGTTATTATAGAAGCTAATCCGTTTTCGGTAGCACTAAGGAAATTTCAGAGTCCTAACTAGTTTAGATCAGGGCAGAGGCGGTCTAAGATGAATGATCGTTCAAGTTGCTCGAGGAGCGGCGAGCAACACGGGGATCCTACTCGCCACTTGATAACTTGGACGCCATGCGTCAGTAGTGCCTTCACGGAAGGGGCTGGTATTCATGGCACAACATGGCTTGAACTTTTTCAATTGCTGAGGCACATCCAATGGGCTTTTACCTATCAAGTTCGGGCATACACAGGATGATGCTTTGGCTTCGTCACCTAAAAGACCTCTATTCAAGCCATGCATACAAAGATATCAAACATAGATACTCAAAATACGCCATTGTATTCATTCAATGCGTGCGTGGTGTTGTTCCCACCACTTGACTGAATGGCTGCCCCAAAGTCCCTCATCTTCTAACTTATTGGAAGTGCATCTCAAACCAGAAATAAGCTACCTTACAACGAACAGGCGCATGCATACGCCTTGTATCGGTGGTCACAGGATCAGATCATATTGGATGGAAGTTTGAAGTCCGGTTCATCAGTACCGATCGTGCTCAACCGGACCTTAAGCGCGTTGTTGTTAGACGGATCACATTTTCCCTCGGGCTGGCGAATTGGGCAACGCCCGCAGCTAAGCTTCGCAAAATCAAAGTTATAAACGTGGCTATCGCTCATTGGAGGAGAGTCTTTCGCCACTACACCTTCGTCCATAAGCACATTGCTTTTGATCAAGGCTGTGGAATAACGATGAAATATGTGGCTATGTGATATGTCCCTTGTCAAAGCTGAGAACCCGAAACCAAACCCTTTTCGATAGCGCTAAGGAAATTTGGGATTGTCTACCTTGTTTTGAACTGCCACCAGCACGTAAGGCTGCCTGGAAGCTGGCGTCCCATGGCAAATTCTTCAGTGCACTTTGAGCTCATTGGCCTTTTCCGCTGCCTGTCGTTTATCACCCACTACCTAGTGATGGTATGAGCTGGAACGCCAAAGAATCATATGTAGAGTAAGAAATCTCGTACTCGCCTTGGCTTTGTCGCCAAAGGCGTCAACCGCAGTCCCCCACTCGTGATGGCTGACAATTTTCCGATACGCAATGATCCCTTCAACTTGGAAGATTACCAAGGAGAGATTTACTACCATTACAAGGCGAAAAGAAGAACCCAAAAGGACGTCCTTTCAATTTTGAAAGATGTACATGGTGTTAACGTGTCGTAGGTCTCAGTGGTTCGAGGCACCATGGGTACAAAACTAACATTGCCACAGGAAGAAGCAGCTAACAACAGAGCTTAAGAGATGGGGATACTTTAAATATACCAAGACTTGTCAACTTCCATCTAATACACAAGAAAGCGAGACTCAACCAAGCGATAATTCCTCCCTACAGCTGTCTTTACCGCTGACTTCTGGCCATGTCCAGAGGGGCAATGGCGGCATTGAGAACACTTCTCATCGCAGCTCTAACGGTTCAGAAGAAATCATGAGCCATGATTCACCGCGTTTCCTGAGGGAAGAGCGATGGCGAGGGTGTGAGACTGTATTCTTCCATATCGACAAACTTATCCAAGGCTCTTTTGAGGCCGGGGACTGGAGATGGAGCGGCCGAGAAACAATCATCCATTCATCAAGCAAGCAACAGCAAGATAAGGCGATATTGCATTCGTTCCTAAACAGCGTTCAATGTGCGCATCTTTCTATTGATCGAAATGATCTGACTCAAGCCGTGCTGCATTGGGACGCAGCATATCAGGCCGTGGATCACCTCGTACAAGGCCATTATCATGATATCATTCCAAATCTTGTACAGAAGATCAACGACATCAATGATAAGGGACAAGTACGAGTTGCCCTAGGGCTGCTACGGCACATCACAAGATGCGCTCATACCTACCTCGAAGACAACGCTGCAGTATACCCTATTTACACTTCTCTCGCACACATACCAACGGTGTACCTGCCGGCATTGGAAGCAAGGATAATGGGCCGCTTCAAAGAATCCTTTGAGTGGTATCAAGGTCCTAGGAGCTACAATAGTTCCGTTATGATGGTCAACCAGGCACGTAGATTACTCATGAGAGATGATGACGCTCGATTTGAGGATGTGCTCCCTCCAGTGGATCATTACGACAGGATCTTCGGCGTTTGTAATCGACGTTCATTAGATATCATCGCCCTCAGGCTTGAGGTTATCTATAAGAGAAGGCAATTTGTCCAATTGGAGACGGAGGCTACCATTCTCATCCAGCGCGCCAAGTTGATTCGAGATGATGATTGGCATCGTTTGTATAATCTCGTCAGGGGATGGTATTATCTTGGGTGCGCTCAATTTTGTCTGCTCAAATGGGTCCCAGCACTGACAAGCTTTGACCGCGCCCTACAAAGCGATAATCAGCTGAGAGAGCTGGGAAATTGGACTATTTTTGACACGGAGAGGGTGGCCATAGAAGGGTTTAAAACGCACATGTTTAATTTTCCAGCTCACGGGGGAGTCATTGATCCACTGATATTATATCCGTGGGACTTTAGCTAGATTCTTTTCATACTTTAGGACCAAATCATTATCTATGACTCTTAAATGGCATCTTCCCTTCTGGGCTGACAGTTTTCACCTCACAAAGTCGCCTAAATCGCGCAGTAGGCTTGGCTTGACTAATTAGAGACGGCGCTCACTGAATGGCATACGAGTGCTATTGTCTTTCATTAACTCTATTGGTTTGAGGGACTTTTGATCTGCAGGCCAACGGACCAACAGTGGGACTTTTGGAGTATATATCACCTGCCTAAAATGCTGTTATAGTGCAAAGACAATGAGATTTGCGTGCAGGAAATCTGTAATACGTAGGTGAGAACGTTTCAGAGTGAAGAAGATTTTAATTTCGCTTCTCGAAGATGTCATATGCCTGAGGTAGGCCACCACGACACCTCGTTCGCAGCTTACCTAGCCTGAGGCGGGTCGATGACCCTGCGCCGCATTCCACGGCTAATTTTACTGCCTTACGGTGATTTCCAGATAAAGCAGTTCTGTTGGATTATATATAGGTATCCATTACCCACGCACTGCACGGCCCGCCTGACAACTTCTGCCATTATTACATACTTCACTTACATCCTTGCAATTGGTTCTAAGTCCTTCAGGCACATCCAACGGTTCGCTATCAGTATGGCAGAAACGCAACAACCGAATGTTCGTCCAACTAACAGAGTTCTCAGTGCAATGAGAATTAACTTAACAACTCTAGGCTCAAGTCCTCGCAGATCGACAATCCGCGAGGGATAATATGTCACTGCGCGATATACGAAGATCGATGAAGAGAGATCCAGACGGACATGGTATAACTGCACTCGGCTTTGATGGTGTGCTGCGTACATTTGACGCCGAACGGAATGTTCTTGATGCAGTTGGCCTCAATCCATCCCAGATCAGAGAATATTACGATGGTTTGCCAATGCCTGAGAGATTCCTCGCCGCAGATGGCCGTAATGTATCGCGTAGGGATATGCTCAATCCCAATGTGGAGGATATTCCTAGGAAACCTACAGAGGAGGACAGAGCTAGAACTCGGGCATATAACGAGGAGTTGAAAAGGCGCGGAGTCCAATGCTGTGTTACGGACAAGTCAGCAGATGACAGTGAACTTGTATCAAATCATACATAGTCGCTTTGGCCAATAATCATAGGGAGACCTTTAACACGCTATTATCTTTTGCCTGTCCTCCTTGACGTCTCCCTTATAACATTACGCAATATATATAATTTTCTCTATCTTCAAGAAAGTTGCAGTAACGTCATCGTCATCAAACCACTGCAGGCAGCACTTGGTCCCCATTCGGCGTACTCACACTTGTCTTGGCTTAATGAGTCCTAGCGCCGTATGACTGCAGGAGAGTAGTTTATTCCGGGCCCTGCCTAAGAGTGCGTCAAAAGTATCTCTCTTCTCTTCATTTAGAGGTACCAGCACACTCCTAATCAGCCACGCACTCAACATGAATCAAGAAAGGCGCGAGAAGATCGAAGCCGCACTTCGTCGGTACCGCGAAACTGTTCTTCAGCATAATTTATTCTTACTCCGTACTCTGGTTAAAAAAGTCGAAGCTGAGCCTACTCCTCCGAACTGCTCAGAACCGGTGGCACAGAGCCTACGGATGCAGGTAATCCAAGAGCTCATAGAAGTTCCCGAGTTCATTGAAACGCCACGAGATATCCTTAATGAGAGCGTCATCTCTTCGTTGATCTTGCCGGCCTCGCTCGAGGGTGTGGATGACGATCCAGCGGACCCCTCGCTAAGACGTGAATACTTCGCCGGCATTAAGGCCAGCATCGCAGACAGGGGTGTAGAGGTTGCCGAATTTCCTCCCTCAGATCTGGAGTACCTCTGCACACTTGTTAGCGGCATCACAGGTCCAGGGCTGCCATTCCATCGTGAGGCATGCCAGTTCGACTTCATCACCCCTCTCCGACCTGGGAAAATGAAGGCCATGATTCAAGCTGTCGGTGTGCCAGTTCGGAGCGATGCAGCACAAGGGGAACGTAATCAACTCACTGGGCTTTGGGAGGATTGGGAAATTGCTACAGTGTTCAAAGTTGGTGGTGGCCCTCGTGGCTGGGGCGGCTCATTTGCTTTGTACTGCAGGAGTGAATATAAGAAGGAATGGAAATGGAGATATGGAGTCCATGATGAAGAGTGGTATAGCGATGTCTATGAGGATGTGGAGGAGTTTCTTGGCTTCTATGCTCACTTCAATGAACAGACTGAGGAAGACCTCGAGGATGACATAACTAGTCTAGAAGCATTGGCATGTTTCTAGCAATCCACGTTCGAGCTGTCTAGCACCGTTCTCTATTACCTCTATATGAGGCTTTGCACCAAGCAACACAAGAGTATCAGTCTAGTGGCACCGGCCCAGTGGGGTTTTGATCCCATAACCATAGTAACCACAGAAGCTGTATTGCCTGAACTCCCTATTCTTGATTGTCAAGACGATAATTTACTACTAGCAAACATAGTGTAGCAAGTGTAGAAATCCGTACTGCTCTGGCGTAGTCTAACTGAATGGTTAGATATATTCACAGCATTGCTCCACCTATCGCAATAGGTTGCTCCTGGCTGTAATCTGAAAACGAGAAATCCGATACAGAATTATCAGCATAAGGATATTGATTCTGGAAACACTGCGTTCCAGGGAAGCCGAGCTCTGACGTTTGATAGGAAACTTCGGAAACCTCTGACTGTGCAGCAGAGAAATCAAAAGACAAGCTTGTAGTGTCAAAGGGTGCAACGAGCGATTGGCTGTCAGATCCCTCTGTGATATAACGCGAAACAGTGTCCAGCTGCACTCCCGCAGATTCCTCGGGGCTTGGTTCAGAGATAACAGATGTTTTGCTGGAGATCTTCTGAGACGATTCTTGCTCAAAGCGAGCCTCAACTTCATCCAGAACCCCCGCAAGTAATTGGTACAGTTGATCATTATAACTGGATGGCTGGTCTTTTGCCTCCACGAACTCAGATATCAGTCGTCGGCCCTCATCAAGCCAAATCCCGCGCAGAATGCCTATAACTTCTTTCACGACGCCGTCCAGATGTGGCTTTGGCATAGGTCGGCGTTCTCCAAACAGTATCGTCCAGATCCCATACCACTGTGCCTCTGGCGAAAGGGTTTTCCCAAAGCGAGCCTGCAGAGCCTTCTGAGAAGCTGGGGAAACACTGTCCCAGTTTGCGCCAGATCCTGGGACACAGGTTTGTTGCAAAATATGATTTCCTTGCAGGTTCAGGGATGAGAATCCCTCACAGCATATCGGGCAGTGGTAACGCGCTGTATGTCTTCGCTTTAAATGCTGCTTGACGTCGGAGATGCGGACCATTTTGAGGTTGATACATTCGAGGTGACGCTCTGGATTCTTTCGGAAGTAAGGGCAAGCGAATCTCTTGACGATTTCATTGGGGCTGTGATCACCGTCTTCATCAAGGTCATAAAGATCATCGCTGAGTCCAGCTGTACGTCTCCTTTTGCTGGGAGTTGAGCTGCGGGATGGAAACTGCGGACTCTGCTTCTCTTCCTCTTTAGGATATTGATTGCTGGGTATGTTTGAAGGAAGTCGGAGAGCATCTAATGATAGTCCGCTCCTATTTTTTGTATTTCGTGAAATGGGGATTGGTGTATCTGGTCGTCCTTTTAAGATCACGCCATTTAGTGATGCAGCCTGCGTTGAGAAGGCATTTTCTTTTAACCCAGTCAAAAATTGATCTAACAATGTGTCTTCGCTTGGTACTAGAAATGAAATACAAATTAGCCTTGCCTCTGTAGTGTAATCTAGGCGTTTTCTAACTTGACTTTTGTGGATAAATTTCTGCTGTTCCTGATCTTGGCGGGGCTGGTGAGATAGGTCTTCCATAAGGGCCTTGAGAGACGCGATTATGGAATTGCAACCTCGATAATGGACGTGTCGCATGATTATCAGTTGTTGTTGTTGTTTTTCTTATGTACTCATGTATAGTTGCTTCCTGCATTAAAGACATTGCTTAGAACGTCTCAAACACTCGTTTGGAGGAGTATGGGTTTGTTTGCTCGAGGCCATAAAATGAGATGACCAGCCGATGCGAGACTTCGCTTATTTACTGGAGCTGGACGTTTGGAAACCCGTTGGTATGGAATGTCGATGTATCAACTTGAAGGTGCATTTGAGCCTCAAGGCGGAGTAAAGGCGTTTAAGTGCAGAAGGACTGTGAGACCTGATTACCCAGACGCTACATATTTTTGTGAGGGGTAATGGTACAATGGGTGTCGCTCTTCTCAATTGGGTGATTTGGGGTTCGATAATCTCGCCATTCGGCTTGGAGTGATTGGTTCAGCTCGCCTTGCATTCATTGGCAGGGTGAACTAGGTGTGAGAGTACGGGGGAGTATGTCACACAAATGTGGCCGATGTGCTGGCAGTCGCTGAAAAGAATGAGGGGGGATACGCCAAATCAAATAAGCTATGTGTAAGATGAGCGACGGCTTTTCCTAATTTCTCTCTGTATATAACATGACCTAAATCTCTCATTTTGCCTCTATTACCACCTTGAAATACAAGCCACAATCCCCTGGTGGGAGACAACAAAGCAATTACAAGGCGCGCGCAGCCGCTGAAATGACACCGGAAAGGGCGACCGCCTAAAGTCGTGCCTTGGGTGGTGGGTTCGTTGGCGTGTCTTTTGAAGGCTGGGGCTGCACGCTGAGGTGGCCCAACAGTCTACCCTGGATATCCAAGCCAGGGTCAACCAGCCAGTCTTGGACGCGATCACTGTACTTTGTGACGGCACCCGATTGGTGCGAGGGGCTGCAGGAACGGCTTTATCAGCATGTGGTGTGTATCTCGATGATCGAAGATCGAAACAGACCTTTCGGTTGGAGCGGAAAGAGTCATTACGTTGGCTGAGAGCTCATGAGCTTACCAGGTACCCGATTGCCCAGGTTACTGTCGGAGTCATGTAAAACTCTCGAAAAGCTGGAAATTGCATTTGATTATGTAGCATATATAAACCTAACATGT